CTGGGTACAGATTTATTGTAAAGAAAAGATTTAATTGTCAGAGGTAACAGTTTTCTTCTGTTAAAAATATACAAAAATATTTCTTCTACAACTAAAATATGAATAATGGCTGAGGCCACAGCATTGATGTTCACATTGTTGAGTGTACCATAGATATGAAATCAGACATGGAAGTTCTTTAAAGGGTAGCATATAATAAATTGCTTTCCATCTGACATAAATTTTTAAACTTTATATTACAAAATACTTCAATTATTGACACTGAAATGCCATATTAAAAAATAATAACTTAATGAATATAGTTTTGCTGTGCTTTTATGCCTGGAAGAAAATTATAGTAGCACCTTTACTTTCTTCTAAATTAAATGCAAATGTAATTTTACACTAACTGTAAACACTGACTGACTTAGGAAGAGTGATCTGATTTTCTTCTGAAATGACTAAAGAACAGAGACCCAGTTTTATATAGTATCTTAAAAATTCCTAAAAGCAATGTTTCTGCTATGGCTTGCAGGGAAAATACTAAATGAAACAGATCACATCAGCTTCTTTTTCTGACAGTACTTTTGTCAGGCATTAATTCCTCCTTCCCTGGTGTTTGACTGGAGACCTGTTGAAAAGATGGTTTATCACTGAGTCAAAAACCTTTGCGGCCCCTTCACAGGAGACCAAATCAGCAACAGAATCCCCATACAGAAATAAAATTATTTTAGACTGAGAGTGTAAATACTCTCAAAGAATTGCATATTTCCCTGGTTGGAAGAGAAATTGCCAACAATGATGAAGAGGAAATAAAGCTACAGGTTAATTGAGTTATCTGGGTTCTCATAGTACAAATACCTACCAGATAATGAAAGACAGATAAGGCATTAATAACTCTACTCATTTGCTATCTATGTATTTGAATGGGGAGTGCCTGTTTCACGAACTTCCTCCTTCTACCTTCCAGGTCTGTGACTCCAACAATGACAGATTTTCTGCTGAGTTCCAAATTGCTCAGTCTAATACAAGCCAGTGTCACCATATCTATTTTCAGAAAGAAATAAAGGGAAGAGGCACGTGGAAAACTTCTGTGTCCATGTTTGTATCACAAAAAGACAGACACAGATGCTCCACTATAACAAAAATATCAAATTCTCTCTCTAAGCTCCCTTTTCTAAGAAAAACCCCTCTTTCTTATTAACAGTTTACATGAAAGACAGCAGTAGGCACATGAAAACCAACCAGTTCTCTTTTATAGGCAGAATACAAAAAAGTAATCAGGGACAACATGAAGCTAAAACAAGGGATGAAAGATGAGAATGATGTTCTCCCTTTCACTGTCTGGTATGGACAGGTATGACAAATTATTTTCTCTGTAAATATTAACTAGATAACAAGATAAGTTAAAAATCACCAAAAATCATGAAACTAGTGGATCTAAGTGTCACAGCCCCGATCAATCAGAAGGACAGACTTTCCTTCCTCAAGGTACAACAAACTGCTATTTGATTTTAAAAACATTTGTGCAGAAAAAGACAAGAATTACCCCAAAGTATCTATCATTGCTTTTTACCTAGACCTCTTCTTTTATCTCTGCACCTAACTCTCAGAATTAAAGGAAACAGTCTTTAGGCACCTCAGGGAAATCCAGCCTGTCAGTAATAATTCATGAACACTTTCTCATCAATAATACTTAATGCAAGAAGCACCATAACTCAACAGTGATTAAGCTCATTTGGATTACCACTGCCTAAGCACGGTTAGGAAAGGTTTAAAGAAAGCTCTATGGAAAAACATCAAACATTTTCTCTCAGAAAAAAAAATACCAGTCTACTAGCACAAGGCAGTGACAAAAATAACTGAATGTGAAGTTCCACCTGCTAACTGCAAACCCAACAGAGCTCAAACATCTCAGGTACAGATTTACTGAGAGGAGCAGGGAAACCATGAGGGGATTTTTGCCCACCTATCTGAATCACTTATTACTGCATATTTCCAACATTACCGTTGGGCTGTTCCCATGTGCCATGCTCCTGTTCATGCTATGAATACTCTACCCCTACACCAGAATGGGAAAAAAATTCATTTGATCTTGTAAAATTCTGGCAGATGATCAAAATGAATAGGTAAAATAAAAACAGAGAAAAGAAGAGATACTGGAGAAGACTATGAGTGGTCTTCCACTAAGTGAAAACAAATCCTACTATTATGTGACTTTTTTGAGAGATCCACTAACACTAGAAACTGGATGACTCACAACTACTTTTTCACATGAGTTATAAAGATTCCTTGATCAACCCTGAATTTTAACCACTTCCATTTGGCATGCAAAAATATCAATCTGAAACTCAAAATCCCTTAATAAAACTCAGATTTAATCCCCTTAATACAATCCTAAATGTCTGAATTCTTGAACAAAATCTTGCTTTTTTTTCCACGGTTTGTTTTGAACAAAGTTTTGCTGCTCTCCAAGTAAATTATATATTTGGTATAAATATCCCACGTGAAAAATCAAAATCAGGATTTGCTTTCTTCTAATTGTTCACTTCTGCCTTCCTTAGGTACATCAGGAACTTGTAAATATCTAAAGGTTTGCAAGCTTAGTTAAAACTCCAACTAATAATCTATGAAATCCTGCCACTGCATGAGAAATGGTTGGATGATTATTCTCAAAAAACACAGTCCAAAATTTGAAACTTTAACACACTGATCAGCAGAATAATCACAATTATAATTATTTTTGTAATGGTAACAGGCCTTTTTGTGCTATAGCTACAGCTTTCAGTTTCAGCATCATTAAGAGATTCTTCAAATTACTTTTTAAACATCCTTTTCCCTCAGGGTTTTCACTTATACCTAATTAGACTACTTACCCCATGCCATGCAATTCCCTATTGCCAAAACCGCTAAATGCTTCAATAAGAAGGAGGAGGGCAGCAGTGGAGTGAGGCAGATGTAATGTCATTGGTTAACAATAGAGGTGTGAAGCAACTGCTGTAATTACAAAACTCATTAATGTGCAGTGTTTAGGGGGGAAAAACATCCCTGGCAGTAACTGTTGAAATGGCATTTCTTTTCAGCACTACATCAGATTGAAAAAACCTTTCATTTTGCACCTTCAATGAGGCAGAATAGCGGTTCCACTAGTAATTATGAGAATCAACATCCACATAAAAAGTAAGCAAGAGCTGTCAGCTCTAATGGCATCCAGCACTCATAAATCCTTTTCATCTTTAAAACTGATACATATGGCTCATTTTGACCCCTAAGCAATTTCATTTTTAGTCTCATTCCTCTTGAGATTGTAAATGGATAACTTCCAGAACTTTATTATCAGGAAATAAAAAATATAAAAAAAATTAAAGCAAGATTAATGAATTTACAATTTTACAATCTCTACCAACATTAGGGTCTTAAGTTTTATCTACAATAGAATATTTGCCAGTTACTTTTGCAATTCATGAATGCACACAGTTCAAATAGACAAATTCAAACAGGCAGCACGATGTTCTTCTTCCATCATTCCTGTTCCTTATCCTGCTAATCAGCTAAGGCAGTGTTATGAAATGCCATCTCTGCTAATATTCTCAAACTTTCTTTACCAAATTTGTAAGGAAAAAAAAATCCTGACATGTCTAGATGCAGAAAATTTTCACTGGAGAGACATTTTAAAGAGACAGCAGCTGGAGTAAAGCACTCTTCTTGAATACTCAACATTTTATTAGTTAACTTCTGTTCACATGTGGGTATTTCTTCTTAAAATTTCAGTTATTTTACACACAGCATATCTAGATATTGCAGATTACCATTTTGAATTCACCTGAACACACTGAATTTCATCTAGTGTAATTGCAATGTTTTCTGGCAGCAGAACAACAGATACCTCAGGGTCAGGGATAGCAATTCCCCTGTTTAGGCTGTCTAACAGTTTCCATTACAAAAGATTATTGTGGCCTTTATTTCTGAGCTGTAACACTCTGAATGTTTGCAGCAGGTGCTTTAAATTTATCAGGAAGAAAAGTCTCTGTACTAGAAAAGTGGTTTTCCTAGTCCTATAAAATGCTGATCAGGTTTTGTTCAGTTTCAAACTGTTGAATAGCAGTATTTTAACTTCCTGTATTTCTCCTCAGAGAAGTTTTGGCAGCATGCCGAAACAATAATTAATACAAAAGTAAGATATATAAATACTGTAAGACAGGACTTCAAATTTGGAAGGTAACACTTAGAAATCAAAATATTACTGAACTTAGGCCACTTGTATAATGTATTTAATGTAACAGAGACTATAATCATATAGAGGTAGAAATAAGTTCTCCTGGATAATATTCAGGCACTTCTTGTTTTGAAATATATCTGCAGAAGTAGAATTACACCATGTTGAAAAAAGAAAATCTGTAGTTGTAACTATGTGAGTACTTAAAAAGGAAAATGGAGTAAACTTGATTTTTTTATGGTGAGAATGTAATACTAACACAGTGCATCATACACGGTGTCTTTGGCCTTGCATTGCACTTCTCTGTTAAACAGCCTCTAGACTAACTGTGGGGATGCTGTTATTGCAGGTTATCAGCTCAGGGACTGGGAGGTGGCTGGGAAAAGGGAAAGAAGACATTTTAGGAAAAGGTGTTTCCCACAGGTTTCCCCTGCCCCTTAAAGCTGCTGTATCTTCCAGATTGTCCCAGGACAAAGTGATGGTTCTGCTACAGATTTAGGGTAGGCAGTCATTCCTATGGCATTTAATAATACACTCAACTTAGGAAAGACAAATATCAGATTTGTATAGATCCTGCACATTATAAAGGGATATTAGAAGAGAAGGAAGTGTATAAAGTAATTTTGATGTACCGATAAGATGAAACATTTTAAACATAAAAAATTATTCAGGTATGTTTCTCAAAACAACAAAAAAACAAGTTAGAGATTGGGGAGAAAGGTTCTTCTTTATTTTGCGCGTTTCTTTCATATAGTTGTGTTTCTAAGAGTAAAAAAATGTATTTTTAAGAAATATCAGCACTTACCGTCAGAATTAAGAGCAGTTCTTCAATACTGCTTTCAGGTTTCAACTGGTCCTTGAACATCCCAATAGTTGGATGCTTCAAGTAGTAATAGGAGGCAATACGGCCGTACACCAGCGGCTCGATGCTGCGATTGTCCTGGTACAAGAGGAGAGGAATCAAACACAGAGCTCCCAAGTGGTTCAGTGTAACATGCTCCTACAAAACTGTGAAACATGTTCAGACTACTTTTGAGAGAACACAAAAAACAATTTAGAATTATAATTTAGCCACAAGAGTTTTCAACCTAAGTCTGACAGACAAACTCTAACATCTCCCATCAAGGAGTGTGATGAACAGCATCTTGCTGTTCACAGCTCCTAGGAGTTTGTATCTCACTGAATCCTGTAAGGCACAGATTAGTCTTACCTCCCCAACTTCAATGCAGTAGGAGCCTTCCAAATCAAACAGGGATTTCTCAACAAGGCTTGAGAGGTACTTATTCATAGTGTCGTGGCTCACATCATCCAAGTTATAGTAACTAGATAGAATGAGAGCAGATGCATTGCATGAATATTTTTTACAGTCTGAAGATTTTTAACAACAGTGTCTTCTAGGAAAACTTACAAGGCTTCTCTATCATACACATGAAACAGCAAATATCCATATTAAAAAATTAAACACAGTCCTTTATAAAGATCAACAAGAAATCCACGATTCTTAAATGTTTGTGGGAGTAACCAACATAAGACAAGCATGTACATATGAAAGATGGCAATTGGTCCATCTATTAATAGAAACGTTGATACAAACAGAACTGGACTGACTCTATTTTATTAGTGGGAAAATTCTCCTGCTTTCACAGGTACACTTTCCTGATAAGTGTGAAAGTAAACAAGCAATGCTGACACAAGTCACACTATTTTAACTTCAAGATGAAGGAAGAACACCCACCCAGGACAGCAACTGTCCTTACATCCTGCAACTCTGAAAGTAAAACTAGGCATACAGTGACATCTCCTGAAAAAGTAAACTTATACCAATCCAAATGTTGGTGTTTGTTGTTATATTTCTGTGACATTTTTTTTCAAAGTTAGAATTGCTAAAAAAAGGAACAGGGTATTTGTTAATGTGTTCCTTCTCATACTTACCATCAGACAAAATGCTTAGGTAAACTATATCATCACAATGGCTTAGTTCTCTGTATGAAGGGAAAATGCTTATAAAGTGGGCCAAAATATATTTTCTTTCTATGTTAGCATATAAAAAAGACACAGTGACTGAAGTTTGCACTCCTTAACTGTAGAGTTGGAGGTGTATGATTAGATTTTACTCATATAAACCAACATGATTTCAGTGAGAACTTTTACTCCAGATAAAAATGCAGTAAGGGCTTGTGTCCCTAGATTCAGCAAAGGCACCAGATCTGAAAGCAACAATTAAGTTCAATTAGTAATGAGCATGCTTAGAAAGTTTTAAAATTTTGAATTTAAGCAGAGTAATTAAACCACGCAATATCAAAGCAGAATTAAAACAAACATAAAATCTGATTATTTATTGAATTGTTAAAAAGCAGGACAAAAAAGGTAGTCATTGCTCATTTAATTCTGTCAAATACTGTGACAGAAATAGACTACTGAGATTGTGCAATGATGAAAGATGCTCCTTTGTTCTACCTGCCTTGCTTTACTAAAATTTGCCATTGTCAGGATCTTGTACTCAGCATTCCCACTTGAAATAACCCCACTGTAATCGAGAGTGGGTTCTTTCAATGCTATTTTGTGCAGGTGAACAACAGGCTGCAAAAGAGCATGCTGAGATTCATTTTAGCCAATTTTACAAAGTTACTGCTGCACCTGAGTTCATTTTTTTAAACTCCTTTCACTGTCACTGGAAAGAAATGTGCACCTGCAGAATGCTATTCATCTCAAGTATTTTAAATATCTACTTCAGGATGAGGTGAAGTGTAATCACTGATTAAAAAAAGAAAACTTTAGACAATCAGTTCAGTTGTGGATGTTATATTTGGGCAGATGAATCCCATTCTCTGAGTTAAATTCTACATAATTTACTGTAATGCTGCTGTTTGCAAATTTCAAAAGATGGAATCAAATTTTATAAGCAACAAATATCCTTATGTAACTGTTTAATTTACATAATCTGATTTGCATGATTATTTTCTTAAACAAAGTTTTTACCATACATCTCTTTAAATAGCAGCAGCATAACTGAAAAAGCCTGAATGCTAAATAGCAGTATTACACTGTCCAGATATTTTCCTCTTGCTATTAACTCCAAATTATGGGATTAATTCTCTGAAGCTTTGAATGTTCACTTATAATTGGGTAAAGTTGGAGTAAACCACTACTATCATACGAAAAAGTTTTAAAAATGTGTTCTGATACCAGCCAGCTACATGAGACAACAGCAAAGCACAGATACATGGCAATGGAATATTCAACTCTGTGACTTTTTATATGGTTCATGCTGAGATGATCTGAAAAACTTACACCACACCTACTGTCCAAAACCAAACCAAACTATTTGTATTGACTTACACATTTTAAGTAGTAGCCAGCCATATATTATCAGCCTCATGCAAAGAAAACTCATTTGTTGAAAAATTATTCTAATAGTGTTTTTGATGCAACCTGAATTTCATGAGTGTCCTTTTAAATTAAGTGATACAGGGATAATACAAAATGGTCAAAATTTCTACCCACCCATTTTATTTGCCTGACATCACCAATCATATTTATTTTCTGGTTATTAGCAGGAATTACTTTGTCAAGTTTTTTTTACCTTCTGAAAATAATTGAGCAAATTAGCTAAATAAGTTGTTTAAGGAGGTGAAAAAGAATTTCTACTTTATACTCCTAAACCACTAATGATTCATTATTAGTTCTCTAAATTGAATAGAATACTTCTGAAATGCTAATAATTAAGGCACTTTGTTGTCATGGTATTCAGACTACCACCATATAATTTCAGCACCTTTATTTGCAGTACCATGACACTCATGATGAATACTGATAAAACAAAAAAAAGGAACATGGGCAATACACTGAAATTCTTTCCTGAGAATGTAATCTAAGACACCAATTCAAACAGGTTTGTGCTCTTATTCTCTGCCTAATTTGCAGTATTTCACTGCAGTTAACTGAAGTTATCGTCACAGAAGAATTTATATTATATTTTGAATTTTTTTGTGAATTTTAAATGTACTGCTTTGTAACTTGAAGTTAAAGGAATGAGTAGCTAGCTAGTGGAAATAAAACAATGTAAAGAAAAATCTTAAATGGTTTCTAATCTTGAGTGAAGTGGTACCAGTATGTTTTAACTACTGTCTGTAATGAGGCAGATATAATTTTGAGCACACCCACAGGAGCTTCTTGGTCATTCAGCACATTTTCCCCTAATAAAAATCAAAGCCATTCATCTTGAAAGACTGTTAAAATTATTAGTGAAAACAGAGGTATCATGACATTAGATTTCAATGCTCAGGAATAAATGCAAGTTGAATTCTGCATGTTGGTATGTTCCAAGTATAAAAACTGCATAATACGTGAGTTCCTCTATGAAGCAATATTGCCTAACTATTTAATTACAGATAAAGAATAAAAACAATGCAGTTTCATGCTCACTGCATTGAATCATCTAGTCATTAGTTCCCCTTTGCTATAAACAGACAGCCTACCTTTTTATCAGCACACCATTTCATTTATTTCACAGTGAAGCCCAGTTTCACAATAATTGACTTGTCAGAAGCTCTAATTTATGAGGCTGGGCTCTGTAAGCCTTCTCCTATATTGGACTCAACCTGCACACAAGCAGGGTTGAATATTTACAATGCTGTTAACAGGTGCTGAGTTGTTTAATGATTCTAATAGCCAGAAGCGTACTGAGAAAGCCAGCGGGATCACAATTACAGGCTGTTTGAACACAACAATTACTCGTCCCCTGAGAGGTGTGAAAGTCAAAGGCAGTTTTATCCTAACAGCATCTAGCACATGGGCTAGACAGGCTAACTTCCATTAGTGGTCCATAGGGAAAAAGCAGTAACAAACCTCTAGGTATCATAAAAATTTACAAAGTATGTAAAATTTAAACAATCAAAAGCTGAAGGAACTTTTTATTGTCTATTAAATAACATATTTTAAATCCAAAAAACTTGTAGAGCTTAGCAAGAACAACAAACTGTGAAACATGAAATTATTTCTCTAATCTAAGGAAGTGTGGAATTTCATCAGCTGAGAGACAGAGAGACGTGCAGGAACATAAAATGTAGATGAAGTTACACAAAACATTTAGGATTTAATGTGAATGGTGGCAATCATTTCCTGTTTAGCTTATGTAAACCTGACCTGAGATCTCTCTGGGAAATTTTTCATCAGCCTTGAAATGGTCCTGCTATAACTGTCAATGCTGTGGAGTCATTTGTTACAGCACCATGTTTTTTATGTTCAGATTATACGGTGGTAATAGTGACACACATAATGAAAATCGGTGACAAGAGTCAGCCAAAAAATATTAAAGAAGAACCTTGCTAGTCAGTGGGTCAAATGCAATGAACAAATGCACAAAACAGCAAATCCACAGCATACACCGGATAGCAAGAAAGTGTGCTTTCTGAGATTTTACAGTTCTGAAAGCAAAATTTTGTTATTAACAAGTATGGGGCAGCACAGATAGTAATCTGGGTCCCTTTACTGCAGTCATCATTTATATTTACTTTCATCAGCTCCAGCAGCTGCCATCTCCAAACAGCACCATGGAAATGGTACAGAGTATATGGCACAACTGATGAATCTTCATAGCCAGAGAGAGATATGACCTTAAGTACCAACTCACTTCTGTTGTTAAGGCATTACTGACTGACTCTGGAGTCCGTGACTGGCCTGCAAAAAGGCATTGCAGAGTGCACAAATGCTGCAGACAGTAATGCCACCCTGTATTTTACCTCTGTCATGTTTTCCTGTATCCATATCTTTGAGTATGCCAGGTGGGAGAAACAGATACATTGCTACCTTTAATCAGCTTTTAGTATACGGCACATTGTGGTCATTTAAAAGGAACAAAACCAAGTTCAATTTCTCTGATATCAGCAAAGTATTTGCCCCCACATCAGTGCTTCTAATTATTTGTAAGACAGTTTATCTCCCAAGATGCATTTATGAGAGATGAGAGGTCATAGACAAACATAAAATTGCTCACATATTGACAAGATTTTTCTTTTTCCTATCATATATTCCAACAGATAATTTTACAGGTAAATCATATCCAAGAGTAGGAAGAAAATGATGTGAATTTTCTTTCTGGATGGAGAGATGTGGAGTCTTCAGCTTTGTATTCTCACCTAAGATTGCAGCAGACAGGGAAGCAGGAGGCAGCTCAAATATTCAGCAGCCTGGGGCTTCCCTGTCTGACAGATTCAGCAAACCTTTATTTGCCTGAATATTTGGTAAAACTATACTGTGAACTACAATCCTCTACTTTTCACATCACTGTGACCCTAATAATTCCAAAGAAGAAACTCTTGTTATTACATTCATAGTAATGCCTATAGCTGTCATTTATTAAATATATATACATGCATATATATCAGTACATGCATATAGGTCTAAATGTCACTGTAAAAGGAAGAGTCCTTTGTGAAATATCTGTTTACCAATTGAAAATAAGGTTTTTAGTAATCACTGCAGTACAATATACTTGCACATTCTAGCTTCTGTTAGTTTAGGTACTGTAAAAATTTTCCATTTTATTTTTTAATCTAAGCTAATTTAACTTCAGTAATCTCCTTTCTGACACACTTCCAAATTAACCCCAAAATTCTGAATAACTGTGATTATGTCACCGAAATACATAGATATTTCATTCTGACTGACTTCTACCATGATATTACCTGTCATCATAATAGCAGAAAATATACTGGACCAGCATATAACCATAATTTGTACTCAAATGTTTTATTCACATGCTCAGCTAATCATAATGAGAAAATTAAATTTAAAGTAAAACATAAATGTATGATAAGGGCATCATCAGTCTGAGACTATAATTTATGCTGTATTATTCATTCACTCCAAAAAACTGCAAAACTGATATCAAGGGAAAAAAAACCCTTAATAATAATAATAATATTTCTCAGAATGAAATAATAAAATATCTTTTTTCAGGTTTTCACAAGGAATTTACATATAAACTGGTTTTGTAAGTGTGTACATGTACACAGATGCACTCTCAGATATAAATGCATAAATAGCCACATACATTTTAATAGTGATGTGATGTGTGCTCTTAGGATATCTAAAAATTAACTTTCCAAATGAAAGCTGATTCTGCTTAACTTTACATGTGTTGTAAATTTCTATTTCTCTTTTACTGCACATGTATCTGGAAAACATCATAACCTGATTTACAGAAAATGTTTCTCATAGACATTCTTTTATAGAAAGTCACAATGATAATCTTTTATAAGGGTAAAAGAATGAAATACCCAAGGCATTTCAGCCAAGGAATGGAGATGGATGAGCCTGTCAAAGCAGCCCCTTGCAAAGAACAGAGTCTTTGCTGATCTGTGTGATATGACCTTGCCCAAGTAAAGAACACAGTGACTGCAGCTCCATGTGGAAAGGAGTACATGCTGCACTCCTTGGCTGAAGTAGTACAGAAACTGTGAAAAGGCTCTGCACTTAGGATTAACTGTTTTCAGGGAAGGGAAGAACAGGGAAGAAACTCTGGATATGGAGACTGAAACACTTTGATAATCGTTTCATTAGGACCACCCCTGTCATTCATGTGTGATCTCCCAAACAGGACAAGTGTGACTAGTTGTCATGCATCTGTAAAAATCTAGCACTCAGCTACCCTCCTTCCCCAAAGCAACACCTCCATTACACCTCTTATCTAGACAGTTATAACCCATTCCACAGAGCTTGAGAGGCAGGGGTTTATCAAACAAGAAAATTACAATGGTTGATGAAAAGGAGTATTTTAACATGCAATGATTTTCCACACCATTAAAACAACTATCATTAGAAGTTTAACAAATTATCTCAAGTTTGCCAGGAAAACTTTCAGGATGACTTCATGTTTAGAAGAAACCTGGATACTTAGAGGAAAATGATACTTGGATCTCTATCCCACAACAAAGGTAGATTACCATTACTTCAATAGTACAAATTGCAGGCATTCAGTAAGGTATTTTATGATACTGGATTGGAATAGGATGGGACGATCCTACGTTTGTTTATGCAGCTTTAATATACAAGTAGCTAAAACTGGCAATAAATGAGAATATAAATCTTCTGCATATGATCTAAGCCCATTATTTTGGGGATTTACAGCATCACATGCAAGGACTTTTATGCCAATGAATCCCAAGGCATTTTACTAATCATGCATATGAGAATTACTTATTCACCACTAAGGTACAATCACCTGCTGTCTAGAAAATAGGTCTTGTTTCACAGTGGAGAGAAAGTCAACAAAATTGCTTTAGGGCAGGACACAATAAAGAGCACTTCTGTCAAGTGACAAGGAATGAGTATTGCATAACCATCTAGACCAAAAACCTGAAATTGTGCTCCAATTCTTTTGAAAAAAAAAAATAAAACCATAACAAAACCCAAATGCTAAAATCTTTGGATTATTAAGAGCCACAAACATTTTTTTGTTTGATAATATCAATCATTTCATATGCTCTTTTATGGAGTAAAACTCCATTACCATAATGCAACTTATTCAGAGTCATCTCAAGAATTACTGACTTCTGTTTGTAAATCTCTTCAATTTTCCTTGGATGTATCTCATTCAAACAGTGACCACGCTTGAACTGCTTGCTTGGTTTTCAGAAGGTCTGAAAATACCACAGATAGCAGGTCCAGGAAAACTTCTAACTAAGTTTAGTAACTTTGGATGAAACTTAAGACTGTAATCATGTCAAAGAATGGAATTCATGCACATCCATTACATTTGTGCTTGGCATCTAGAAATGATATGACAAACTGTTTGACAGAGTAAATAATATCCTTATTTTTTTTTCCCTGCATGACCTAGTACAGAAGGAATGCTGAGTACCTGTGTGGATAAAGAGCTCAACTTGTCAACTGCTCCAACCTGTGTGTGTGGTGTTCCAATGCAAGACTCCAATTTCATTAGAAACTTCATTATTCATTCCTACCCTGCCATTATGGGCATAACTAGTCAAGATCTGTTCATCTTGGTTCTCCCTACAAAGACTCTACATTTCATTATGAAGCTCCTTTTTTTTCATCCCACATCCCTCCAGCTTTCTTCCCCCCTCAGAATAGCAGAATTTTTGCTTTGAAGTTGAAATTGTGATAACTCCAGATTTATCTGTCCATAACAATAAAGAAACTGCTGAGAAAAACTGACCAGTAGTCAACATGCCAACCTCATACTAAAGTGGAAATCTTCTTTTATATTGGGAAGAGATTGCCTACGAAATCAAACAACATTTCTATATTCCACACTTACCTTTGGCCTACATACTGTGTCTTAAAAAAATGTACCTACCACAGATACCACATGATCAAAGCTTACCAAAACCAAATCAACTACAGCACTTTACCAAAGCAATTCAAGAGCAAGACATCTTAAAGGAATAGTACTCACACTGCAACACTTATTCTTTACACTAAAAAAGTAGAAAATATAACATTTTAAAAAATCATAATTTAACTTTCAGAAATACCCTTCCCATAACTGTATGCATTGTATCACTTACGAAGTAACAAAATTTAAAATGCTTTCTTTAGTTTACAGCTCTAACGCTCTGCATTTTTTGTTTCTCAAAAAGGCTAGATGGAAATTCTGTTTGTTTTGTGGGAGATTCTCAGCGTAGGACTAGATACAGAACTAAAAACTAATAAAAGACTTAAGAAGGATTAAAGGAAATTATTTTATCACCTGCAGGGTCCCAGCAGCACTTACCCATAAAGTACCTGGCAGAAAATCTGGCCAAATGCTATGGACATTAACATGACTTCAGAAATACAACACACTGGAGTACATCTAGAAATATTTCGTGATCTAAACGGTTAATTCTTTATTTGCCACATTATTTCAGTGGGTGAATGATCACATGACAGGTAATACACCATTTACCCAAAACAGCCTTGTGGCAAAGGCAGGCTATACTGGTGGAACAGCTCAGAATGATCTGCATACCAGCTGGAGCTAGGCAGGATGATAGCAATCACTGAAAATATTGCACACATGGTTTCACCAGGGTACCCTAATGAAAGCAAACGTTATCACAGAGAAACAGCTGATAGTTATTCTCTCATTTATTAGGAAAGTTCAAGTCTTAATAAATTTTCTAAAGAAAACTGAGCAGAACATATCAATGTGGTAGCTAAAAAAAAGGTATTGCATTATAAATACAATATCTGAAGGAATGTGATAATCTGGAATTTTATTTTAGGGATGCTGATGTAGCCCTCTCAATAAGGTTGTTTTATTGCTGTAACTAAGTTGAAAAGTTATCTGCCAAAAAATGCATTTATATTTAGAGTAAAATTTATAAAAAATATGTGCTCACAAGTTTTAATCCACACGTGGGCCAGCAATGCTCCTGCACTGGAGACTGTTAAGTATTTCTAGGCTCCAACAGCAGACAGATCACCTTTGGATCAACTCTAACCTCAAGTTACCTTGCGATGAAATTGCCTTTATATTGTGTACTCACGTTGGGTTCATTATAAGTCGACGGAAGAAGTAAGTCCAGGTGATGTAATCCATTGCATCCTGCTTAGATGTAATAGTCCCAGCAGCAATTTCAGCATTCAAGTGGTCAGCCAGCACCTCTAACAAGCTGAAGAACAGTTAACAAAAGGATTTAGCTGACTTTACAATCACAAAGACAGGTAATATATTTTGTAGAGTTGCCCATTAAAAGGTTTATTACTTTTAATCTGAAAATATTATATATTTATCTTCCAGTAAAAGGGAAGAGGGGAAGAAGGAGGAATGTAATTGCAAGGTCAGTCATCTTCTTTACATGATAGTGGAATGAAGCTCAAATTATTTTTTGATTGGACCAAGAATGCACAAGTTTAAATCATTCATGGAACATATTCAGATGGAGCTACTCAGTGGTAACTTCTGAATATTGTATGTTGACCATATGATCATGCTGATTTAATCCAATTGAGAATCATATGGAAAGACAAACAGGAAATGAAACAGTGGCAAAAGCTTAGCTAATACTTGACAAATACTTCAGGGCTATTAAAATTACATCAAAACTGCTTCCCCCGGATTTTGCCTCATCTTCATCCAAAAAAAACCCAAAAAAAACCAATAAGAGCAGCTACTTTTACCCAGAAACTGAATTAAAAAAAACCAGATTAAAATGATTCTTAAAAAATAAAATAGTCAGTCATTAAACAGAACAAAGACCTCCATTAGAGTATCTAATGAGATCATGCCTGGCTAGAGTTCAATCAGAGAATAGCAAATATCCTTAAGGTTCAACTTAATTTTTCTTGTATTATATCCTTTTTCTTCTCCCAGTGTTCTTTTCCTGTTGCTAAAAGTAAAGAATAATCTGGCATGAGTAGCTGTTTTACTGCTCTGTACTGGTGACTGCATGCTTCCAAGGGTCAGAACTGCAGGCATTCTGCACAGATTGTCCAACAGAAGCTGGACAGATGATTCAACTGCTATTCCACAGAAATGGATTTCTGGATTTACTTTTGTTTCTAATTTGCTGTGTTTCAGGCCCATAATCAGGGAGAGCACAAAGACTCTTATGTGTTCAGTGATCAAGTCTTACAATTAAATATGTAAACAATGGCTTTTAGAAAAAATGTTAATTAAAAAAACTATGAAGTTTACTTTTACAAATTGGAAATACTACACAAAGCTAATAAATCTGCTCTTTGGTAAGACAGATGGGAAATCATTCCAAAACTAAAAACCCCCCAAAAATCCCAACCAGTATCCCTTTGAAGATATGAAATACTTGATCATTAAAGAGGCCAAGACAAACCTAAGTTACGTGGTTTACAACGTACAGAGAACTTAACAAGATTGATATTAACATGTGACTCTTCATATGAAAATTTATCAAATATTCTTTTTTTATAATGAAAGATGGAATATATCAGAATTACAAGGTAAATACAAAAGCAAAAATGGAGTTATTAGTAATTTAGAGTATTTATAGTCTTCCAAACATGAACAAAGGTGTGATTACTACTCTTACATGGAAGATATGATTTCTTTAGAAACACCACATCCCAAGGAATAGAGATATTTTTTAGCTTATGCTAATGCCATGCAGTCTGGATAGATCATCAACATTTTATTCACGCCACTCTTTTCACTCATTAACTATTATTTTGAAGAAGTTCAACTCCTAGACTTATGTGCTAAATGTAACTTCTGTGTTAAAAAATGTGTGGTTTCCTAAGGAAATGAAGTGTATGTTTCCACATTCCTTGTTTGCAAAAATTGCATGTCTGTCTGTGCACCACAGAAATTAAGTTCCAAATAAACCAGCCCATTTCAACTACAGTTCAAAGGTGGATTGCACTCTCAAACTCCAACAAGTTTCCTGAGCAGAAACTCCAGATAATTGGACCAGATAGAGGTCCCATTATCACTTATGCTGAGGGATAAATTTTCCTTAGGAGAACAACACTGTGAATTCTTTGCCACTGAGAAAAGCCTTCAGTAATGTTCATGCTTTATTAGATCTATTAGATTTATCAGAGCATTGCTCCATGAAGCATTCCTCTACAGGAGACCAATGTAACCAGTTTAGTTTCTCATTGAACAACTAAGTTAAAATATCAAAATCAAGGCACAAATTAGATTATGCTGGACAGCAAACTTTGCATCAGCTAGGTTCCAAGAGGCTACAAAAAGGACAAAAAGGTGCTGTTTCTACACGTCTCACAAAAATATTGCAATTTTATAGGGAAAGATATGTTAAAACTGTATTAGTAAGAGTTTACACCATGTAAACTTGAACTTAGAACTTTTAGAACTTTTGAGATTTTTAAGAATGTGTTATCTATAATGATAAAATATTCTAGGTTTAAAAGTGCTATAAACTCACCTTTTTTTTCTACTAGTAACTTGCCACAGAATTTTGAAGAGGATTTTGAGGATCATGGATAGTTGTCCTAAACACTGCATTTGCAAAACACTTTGTGCTTTCACATGTCTGAGACAACACCCCTAAATGGACAGGCACTTGTGGTATGATATGGGAATGGACTGACGAGCTCAGCAGTGCTTCAAAACTCATGGAAGAAAGAATTTTTCTACATAAAGATGGATAATTTCTTTCTTTGAATTATCTTCCTCTTGACCCCAGTATTTAGGACTTATCCAGCACAGGAATTTTGTTGTCGTGTCCTCTATTCCTCATTTATAGTACTGCTCATAGTTTGATCAGCTTTTCTGATTGCTTTATCTTTACCTTGATTCCACTGGGAAAGGTTCATAAAGGAATTTTTTGTAGAAGTCTTTCTTAATATCATGAACCAGAATGACAGCTTTTCCTTGGTCATCAAACTGTGGTCTGCCAGCACGGCCCATCATCTGAAGCACATCTGCCAGAGAGACAATAATACGTAAACCAAATATTTGTTTGGATGTATAAAAAAATGTATTTAGGTCTGCATAATGTACAATATAGGTTTTTTGCATTACTTTGGCTTTGTATGCCCTATTGGCTTTGACGCTTGTAGGTTTCTTTGCCATCTCAGATAGTTATGATGAACTTCTTTCTGTCAGAGACAATCTTCTTGTATACTTAAAGATTACCCATTGCAATGGAATCTAGGATTATATCTAATATAAATTATCTTTACACTCCTTCCATTTCACATCCATCCCTCATTTTATTACATGCAATTAAGGATGATGAGTAAGAGAACTCATGAAGGCTACAATGACAATTGTCTATCATTTCCTAATTTTCAAATACTTGACTTCATACTTACACAAGTTCCTCATGTAGGCTTTTCTGCTAGATACGATTTCCTAGGTTTTGACTACTTTAGAGATAAAATGGCATAGGAAACTTCTAATTACTGAGCACAGTTTTATATTTACCACTTAAACAAGTTATATTAGTTATTAGCACTGGAGTCGAGATGGTTTCATATTGCATGTTGTCCTTACATCACATCATAATATACAGATTGAAAAGCTGGTTCAGACATATTACCTACACACCATTACTTGTAAATACTAATTAAGGACTTGTGTAAACATTGAAAATACTAGTTTATGCAAAACATTGCTACCTGCCCCCAAGGATAAGCATGCTTATCATGTATTTGTTAGTTTTCTCTTCATTTGAGAAGTGCATCTGCATAGGTAGCTCTGTGCCTCATTCACCATGGCTCTGAATCCTTCTGGTACCTACCACTGCTATTTAACTTAGAAGAAACAGTGGAAAGCAATATATAAGTTTTACATCTTTATTTTACAAGTTTTAATGTTTTGTGTATTTTGTATGAGCTCTTTTATACCTGCCCAGTATGTGGCTTGCAGCACCTGGCATTTTGAAGTGATTTATTTGAGTTAATAATCAGGAAGCTTTTGGCCCAAAGCTCTGTTGAGGAAGGAAAATCCAGAAAGTAAAGAATGGGCTACATCAACTGACCATAACAGGAGAAACAGACAGCCCAATTCTGAGTTTTTAGTAACACATTTTCACTTGTGTACTGGCTTGTGTATAGGAAACAATGTTTTTTATCAGTTTATTCCTTTTGTTAGCTTAGGAGTGACATTAAGATGTAAAATGAAACTAGTTTAAATCTGCCGCTTCTGAATAGGTGTGTGCACAGGAGGGTGATGGAACAACCTCTTGTGTGGTGGTGAATTAAATTGTGCATAATACCATATAGGAAATGGACTTACCAAAAAGTGTCAGGAAATTATTTTTGCCAACATTCACTATGTAATTATCCAAACTCAATATTTTCTTTACTGACTATATGTTGCTTGGCTGCTTTTAACCACTGGACTAAAGTCCTGAAATATTAAATACGATACAACTGGCTGACTAAATAAATGACTGTTAACTGAGAAAAAGTCCTCCCCAAAACCTCTGACTTCACTCAAAGAAGCATTCTTGCTTATTTTGAAATTGCTGTACACTCCAGAATGATTCATTCTGCCCTCAGCTGTTTTCTTGGAGCCAAACGCATTCCTGACACAGAAAGGTAACTTTAGTAGGGAGAAGCCAAGTAATATCATGATGGAACATTGAAGGCATAACTTGAGGGCAGCATTAAAGACAGTACTGTGAAACTTTTGGAAGTATTTCAGAAAGAAATTAATTACATTTTCATTTTATTGCTGCAGCAAAACTGTACAACCTATCCACGGAAGTTCCAGATGCATAAATACTCTCTAGAAAGTTAAAAATAAAAATGCTTTAGGCAAACCACACCACATGTTTCTTCATAAAATAAGGAATCTGCATTTTCTGTTGCAGTGCAGACAACAAAATCTGAATGCTTCCATCACAGATGGTGGTATTCCATCCACCCCCTCCCCTGCCCTGAGTCCTACTGAAGATTAGGAATTGAATGACACCCAGTGTTGAAGTTACCTGAATTAAAAATGGTAATAAAGAGTGAAAGTACCAGCATTCCCTGAAGCCTTTGTGTGAACTTGTGCAAGATTCCTACAACAGCATAGTAAGTCTGCACTGTTTATTGAGTCTCTGATTTCTTCTAAATAGATTATTTTCTCTATTACTGATTTCTGACAGTGCCATGGATCTAACACAAAATTTAAAGCTTCCCTTGATTTCTTCCCTTGCCGCTTTTCCCCATTCAGCAATGAACGATCGCTGCCGCTCCCCGGTCGGCACGAGCGCGACTCGACCTCGCTGCAGGCTCTGCTCTCAGTGAGTTTACATCAGCCAAGGGCTGTCACAAAGTACAAGTGTGCATGGCTGAGATCCCAGGTCAGACCAGAACCTTTGAAAAAGAGAGTTTGGTCTGGAAATTGATCCCAAGTTTCCTGCAGAGCACCAACCACTAAATTAAGCTCTATGATGGGTTACTTGAAGAAGTAACCCCTGTAGTATTTTCAGTTTGAGCTTTTTTTGTGTTACTAAACTTCTCTCAGTGAAAAGACAGCGCATGGCTAAAAAGATGCAAGCTCTGTATTTACCTAACAAGTACTATTTAGATTGTCCTTAGGTGTACACATCGCTAGCGTAGAATAGGAGTATTTAATAATAAACTTTCTCTTCAGAAAAGAGAAAGGGAAAACAGAACAGGAAACCTGGAATAAATTTAGCTTGTCCTCATTCTTCAAACTTAGTACCATCCAGACAAATATTCTCCCTGCCTGAACTCTAAAAAAAGTTCTCCCATGGTTCACTTTCTTCAGCTTGTTAAAAACACTGCAGAACTGTTTATGAAAACTGGAGTTTACTGGAGCCAGAAAGCAACGAAAGTCTGTATCAAGCCAGAAATTCAAATATTTAATTTAGCTGCTTATTTCTGAAGTATCCCTTATATCACTTAAGATACCAGGCCAGTTAAGGTTTTGCATTTACTACTAAGTGACTATATAATTTTATTTTCTCATACGTGTGTGATTCAACTGATGCATTTCAAACCATGGCTAAGTTTACTGTTAAAGATTTGTTTCTATTTAGAAAAGGTTTAAGAAACGAAAAAACCTCAATGCTTGAAAAGTTCCTTTTATACAATTACCTAGTTAACTAGATATAAAGCCTAGAGACAAGGCTTTATACTGTCCCTTTAATTGTTTAATGTCTATTTTGGGTGATACACATTAAAGGAGTTTAGCATCAAAAAAGATTCACGAAGCAGAAACACTTTCATTACAGCAGAAAATCTTAAGAGTTCTCTTACAACTTGCATTAAACAAAGAAAAAAACCCTTACCTCATTCTCTTAGTCTTAATCAAAATTCAGTTACTAAATAATTGAGGTCGTTTGCATATGGTTGAAATACATTTTAGGGTTTGAGCATTTCCGTAATTTAAGTGAGTACCTGTAATGGGATAATCCACGTAACGCCTTGTTTTTCCATCGTAGTATTCTGTTCCTTTAACAATTACTAAATGAGCTGGAAAATTTACACCCCAAGCTAATGTGCTTGTGGCAATAAGAACCTAAGACAAAAAAGAAAGATTAATGAGGTATATGTAACAAAAAGCCAACTTTTAAAATTCCATGTAAAACTCATTACAGCAGGATTCAAAAAGAACATGTGTACCTGGATTTTGCAGTTCACAAACAATTCTTCCACAGTTTTCCTGTCCCTTTCATGCAGACCTGCATGGTGCATGCCTATTCCAAAAGCAAGTGTCAGCTTCAGATTCGAATCTCTAACTGTGACTATAATGTCATTCATCTGTAACAGAAATAATAATTGCATGCTTTAAAACAGATTACTAAGAAATTTTAAACTTTTTGGTTTTTTATCTTTATTTTTTTGTTTTTGTAGCAATGATAATTTGCTTTATGCTGTTTATACAAGCAGGAAATCAGAGCCTTCTTCAGTGTCTGAAAAGACTGGATTTGTCTAAAAAAATGCTATATTAACAATGGGGGTGGAATACAAAATGCACATGACTTTATTGACATGCTAAGTAACACAGACAAGGAAATGAAAATGCTGAAAATATCTTGACAGGTCTGGCAAATACTGTACATTCTGTTCTGTGTTTGTTTAATGCAATCCCTAGTATCAAAGGGGTTAGGACTGGTATAAAAACATAGCAAATCCCTGCAACCAGTAACATAATAACAGTCATGAAAAATAAATTTGGCTCTCTCTAATGCCTTTGAACATTAGAACATTGAACATTATTCCTCAGTTTGATAATTTTGCAATTATTATCCATCAAAATGAAAAATAAGAAAGCTTTCTATTTAAAGGCTGAAATGCAAATTAATTTGAAAAATTCTTTTGAGTGTGAGTTTGTAACTTATAGACTCAAACTCAGTGAAATCCAACATCTATTAAGTGTGTTCATTTAAAACTTTCAGAAGTCCAGATAAAAAGCTATTTTTATTATTATTACTAATTATTTCAAATCTGATGTCAATGACTCTTGGGATTCTTTTTACTACTGTAATTTTAACTATCTTTTTTGCCTACATTTTCAAGTCATAACTTTGATAATAAACTTATTTATTTTTGTAGATGACCTCTGTGGAAATCCTCTTAGTAAAAACAAATGAAACTGTCTTGTTAATTGATTCTGCCCTTCAAAATTATTTGTATTGTTTTATTTCTAAGGCCATTTATTATTTTATGTGATTTTAATATAATTATAGCCAGGAACTTTAAAATTTATGCTCTTATTAGTGGTTTCCTGGTGCCACCAGCAGTGGCATCATGATATTGCATACATAGGGCAGAATCATTCGTGGTCATGGGAGGTATAGCCAAGGTTAGAGAAAAAACATTAGTGCAGAACAAATTAGTCAGGACAACTGAGTAATTGGACACAGTGTTCAGCCTCATCTCAGACTGAGTTCTCCAAAGGACTGAGACATGATAGCACCACATGACCACAGTGATATTTTCATTTCTGTGTAGGACTCTGAGGTGTTTCACTTCTGATGTTCAAGATTGGAACCTCTCTAAATATTTCCTGTGTTTTATAATTCCCAGACCTTAATGTAAATAAAATGCTTCACATCTCTAGACTCAAGTAACATGTTGCTACTATTAGAAAAAGAATCCTTAAAAGGCACCAAAATATCTACAGAATATAACAGCCCATATTGAAGATTTTAAAACAAACAAACAAGATTTTGTAAATCAATCAATTTTGTCAGGAAGAGTAAATTGCAAAGCATTTAAAAAGTTTGTTTGTTGAAGTAATCTTGACTAATAGAACCATAACTGATGGCAGTAACGGGGAAACGAATTAAAACAAGAAATTGTTCAACTTTTGACAGATCAATCAATTTCATCTGTCAATAGAAGCTCCTAAACTTTATTTCCCCTCACAATGCAGTTGCCTGGATGTTCCTGAGAGTTTCCTGTACTGTAAGATGTGGAAGATTTGTTGTATAAACTGATCTAGCACATATAAAATAAAAGGGTGCTTACAAGAGTGTAAGGGTCCATGAAATACTGAAAAGAAAGGGAGCAGAAAGAAAAAAGCCCAATGAATTGAGAAGTGAGAAGGGGATAAGTCCATTTAGGAAAGGGAAGCACAAAGCGGGGTAGATAAGTTGAAGAGAATAAAGAGATGAATGAAAGGAGGATATGTTAAAGGATAAAGTTTATCTATCTAGATACAATCACCAAACCTTTGATTTCTCTAGTCAACATGTAGACATGTGACTTCAGTGTAGACAACATGAATTATGACCCATCTTAGGGAGTTTTTCTTTAAGACTAAAAAATATCTGGGTAAATGGGAACACACATGCTGTTTTCTCTACAATTATGACCATCAACATGCAATACTAAAAATATTATCAAACCTATTAATGATTTTTTTACTGCAGGTTTATTAATAGGTACTAGTACTGCATAGGCTCCTTTTGCCTATGTACACACTTTAAGAAATAATAACTATATGTATACATTGAACAGGAAATTAGGATGAAAAAAATAGAAAATAAAATTGGTAAATATGTGAAAAACAAAAAAAATGCATTTAGATTTTAGTCAGTTTCTGCATTAAAGAATAGACAAAAGATACTACATGGCTGAATTGATTTTTCTTCTCCCCACCACGAATCAGCACCTTATGATATTTATGTCTTTAATGTAAGGGAACGAGCAAATTCCAAAGACATTAATTTCATTATTCACATCAAAAGAATGTAATATTGGGAAAATAATGAATCTAAACACCCTTTTCCTCTAGAACAGTACAGGGATCAAACTAGCTGATTTGGCTTGGTCTATAGTGATTAGACTGTTCCTTCAGCACACGCGGTTTTACACTGGGAGCTATTTCCAGCACACAACCTGAGCTAAACCTTTCTGCCATGGAGTTGCCAGCACAAAACATCCTAAATTCACACTGCTGGGAATTTATTCAAAGATGTTCTTCTTGCTTTTACAATCAGTGGTGGTTATTTCTTTTCCCCTCTGACTCGTATTACAGCGGCGGCCTGCGGTGCTGTTAGTCATACCTGCAAAGCAGTGTAATTTACCACAGGAAAACTAAAGAACCCTTAGCAGGAGCACTGGCACATGCACTGCTATCCTGTCATTTTAGCAGCAGGGAATCCTAGTCATTTTTAGCTGACCCCTTACTTTCACATAAATCACTGTAATAAACATAACTGTTTTACCCATAGGCACAATCCAAGGCTTAAAATTCTCATGTCAATTTATTTAAAAATGTAACTCCTTTATGTCAGTGTAGTGTAAGAATATTATAAATTTCTGTTAAGAAATAATGGCACAATTAATAGGTTCATTAACCAGAAACAGACACAGCACTGTGACTATAAAGCAAATCTAACATTTCTGAATTGTTATGACTCAATTACTATTTATCTTTCTGAAAACAACTGTCATGTAGTTTTGCTCACAGAAGGATAAATGAAATCTATGTTATCTTAAGAACAGAAAAAAAATTAAAATAATATAAGGAAATACAAATTGTACTGGCATTAAAAAAAAGCCCTGTACAACACCAATGCAGGGAACCTAATGCCAGGAAGTGATTTTTCCCTGGACTCATACACCACCAGGATCAGGCACAGGCTGAAAGGTTTGGTTCTCTTACATAGCTTTTTTTTTTGCTTTTTTTTTTTTTTTTTTTTTTTTGATGAACAAATAAAAATATCTCCTGAAAACCAATTTAGGAACCTGGTAGCACTGCAAAATATTTTCAAATAAACTTTACTTCTACATTTTCTCTTCTAATTTCTAAACAAACCAGATTTTTGTAAAACTACTAAGTAGTCATTTTCTTTGTTCCTGCACATATGTAAACTGTTGAACCATTTACTTTAAGCTAATAGAACTTTTTTTTATATTTTAAATTTATTATACTTAAAAAGCTTTTGTAGAAAGATAGGATTCCATTTAAGCAGATACATTACCCTGTGCCTGAAATACATTCCAGTCAGAGTATAATTCAGCAAGTTGATGACAATGCTGGCTCCAAAAGAAAGGAGGAGACCAGATTGGACAAGAATGAGCTAACAGATTGTGCAGCCCAATTCTGTCCCTTTGAGTGTGATATATTGTTTCAAGATGCTAAAACCCCATACTTTCTCAAAGCATATCTGTTGTGCTGGTTTTCCCATTTTCACAGAATCCTCATTATTAGTACTCTCTACTCTTTTCAAAGCACGTCAGACTCAGACCATATGCCACTGAATAATGCTTATCAATTGTCTGAAATGCCCAACAGAAGAAAGATCTGCCAAACAAAAGAATCGTGAAAGTTATGAAGTCTTTTACAAAAATAATTACATATTTCACATCTGCTACAGATGTTAAGTGAAATAAAAACATCTCCTTGTTATAACTTAATGTTAATTTTTATGACACACTTTTGTGTCATAAAACCAACATCTTGTAGAAGGAAGTTGAACTTCTAGAATGACTGAAACACTTAGAAATCATTCTTGGGTACCCTCCTGATCTTTAAAGTCAGGAAAAAAAAATCTCACAAAATTATTTTTGATGAAGAATTGGCTTATACTACAGAGCTATCCCACACAGAACAAGCTGCCTAAAAAAACTCAAATAATATTCAAGGAACATTTTAAAATGTTTTAAGCAGCTGAGATATATCATTAAATAATATTTAATAATATATAATAATACATTAAAGAATAATAATATAATAAAACATTTAACACTAAAAGACACATTTAAATGACAGCAATATACCTGTTCATGACACAGACCAGATTCTTCTATTCCTATTTTATAGCACAACATTACCTCAAAACATTAACACGGAGATAATAGGTTGTTTGATTTAAAGGTTAGAGAAGGAAAAGCCATCTTTTGTCTTTCCAAGAATTTTTAGGATTTTTTTTGTTGGTTTTTTTTTTGGGTTTTTTCTTTGTTTGTTTTTATTAACAATGCAAACTGACTATTGGTAAAATTTAATTCCCTTTCACACATACAGCTATGTGTATTTCCACACAGTGCATAAATACACACATACTAATCCATAATTATTGCACACATGTTTATACACTCACATGTCTAAAATAGCAAAATCAGGATTGGTCTGATTCATTCCTCTGGAGTCAATGAATGTCCTTCATTCAAGGGCCCTTGAATTCTGTGGAAGCAAACTATTGCCTGATATGGATGCTATTGAATATTACTGTAGGTATCTTTGTCTAAAAGATATTAGCTATTTCTAGAGGTTTCATAAAGAACAGTCTTAACAAGATGCAGATGGTCAAAGGATGCACAAAGCAGAATGCAAAAAACATTGTGGTTAAAGCTAAAACTATGTACACTGGTACATTTCTTCTCCCTCCTTGCACTGTAAATATTACAGAAAAATAAATCCAAGTATCTGGACAGGGAATAAATTTTTAAAGAAACTCCACCAAACAAATAAGAAAACACCCTGCTTGTCTGCTGGTGAGAACTGCATTCTAACTTCAAACAATAAACCATAAATACTACTTTTGTACTTTTGTTTTAGGTTAAAAAAAAAAAGGCTGTAAAAACATTAGAGAAAAATAAATAAACTGAAAACTTGATTCTAATAAATTATGTTGTAAAAAGATTGCAACATTTTCTGCCACCACAGATGTAGATGCAATTTGTGACAGAGAAGGACTTGTTCCTCTTTAGTCAGCTCCTAACGCAGAACAGCATAACTGATGTTACCCAAGCTGACCATCAGGAACTGGTGGCACTGTCTGTCTCCAAAACCTTAATCTGAGCTATTGTCCCTTTTAACAAGATAAGTAATGGCTCACAAGCTTGAACATGACAGTCCTGGCTGACAAGTCCAAATTAGAATTTTAGCTTGTAAGTGTATAATTAAAAACCCTCTAATGATTATACAAAAAAAGGGTAAGCAAAACATTTTCTTTTTCCACGGGCATGTTGGCATCAAAGAACAAGAGAAAGAAATGAAGAACCACTCTATTTACAGATGCAGTCTCCTCTTTGAGATGCACTGCCCATTCACATTTCTTGTCATGACACACCTGTGCCTCAAAGCATGACCAGGACAAACTTTACAGATTGATGTCTAATGAAGAGTCCTTGCTCTTACTGCAGATGGCAAGGAAAACAGCTTCTGCTGCTGCTTCTTCAGTCTTTGCTGAAAAATAAACTCAGTCTTGGGGCACATTGTAAGAGAGAGAAATTTTGGAATCCATACGGACAATGCAACTTACAGAAGAATTAAAAAACATCATGAAGGCTCTAAAGGGAAGTATTCTTTTTATCCTAGAGACTGCCCAGTCATACTCTGGATGAACTGTGGCACTGTTGCTTAAATCCTGAAGAATGTCTGCATGTGCAGTTGGAAAATGTAGGGGTAAGCTTTAAAACATCAGCTACAAATCCTGGTAAGTATGGTATTTCAAGCATCATTGGAGACTTCCCTGGCAAGACTAAAGTATATGTAATGCATCAGGTCTCTGAGTGGCCATTTCTTCACAAAAAAGCACACACAGAGCCTGAAGATTAGTTGCATAGAATCTATGAAACAAATTTAACTATTTTAATCCAGCAACAGGCCCAGCAGAACTGCAAAACTGAGCAATACTAGAAACAACAATTTTCATTAAGTACTGGCCAGTTGATGAAGATTGACTGCTGTCTCAACTTTCTGAATGCCTTTCAACTTTCTGAATATTGTAATGGGTATGAGCCAAAACCTGCATATCAGACATGAAATTCAAGGAAAATGTCCAGGAAGAACCATTCCCAAAACCTAATGAAGCTGCCTATAAGATATCTATTTTTCAGTAGATGCCTGTGTAACAAAATTCCTTCTTGACAATAATTCAGTTGCACCTGTTAGATAATGACTCCTTTGAGGGAAAGAACATCTTGCATGATTCCTCCCTGATCCAGGCAAGTTGTTATCTACTTTGGTGGCAACAGTTGAAGGGTTGTTTCTATATGTCACTTCTACATACAAATATGTTTTCCAGAAGGTTCATGCAAGTTCATGCCATTTGAAATATAATTGATTGATATGCTGCCTGAATTTGATATTTGGAGCTGGAAGGGGATTTGCCTGCTATCTGAGAGAACTGTGAAAAGCAGCCTGGAAGTTTGTGAACAGAATCATTCATCACAAGCTTCAAACAAGAGCCTGGTTTACCACCACAGAGAGAATCTCTACAGAGAAGATGAGTGAAGCTAACATGATGGCAGATAAACAAAGATCTAGTATTGCTAACAACACATTAACAAAGAGTCAGTACTGGTCTCTGCTGCATTCCAGTCTCTTCCCCACAAGGCCTGAATCTCTCTGATACCATCACAAAGAAGAACAAAGAAAAAACGTATTTAATGGCTGTAAGAATCTGTCTCTACCTCAACATCAGTCCTTTAGAAGTTATTATGGATGGCATTGTTTGAGAACATTTCAAGAAGCCTTAAGAAATCTGCTGGGAAGGTCACATAAACAGATGAACTTTTAGCCATCATGTAGCAAACCCAATTACACCATTAAACAAAACTTACTAACGAGTTCTCAAAGGAATCTTATGCCAGCCAAAATTAACATTATGTATAATATGCATTATGTATAATAAGGCTGACTGAAGAAAAAGGTCTGATATACAGCTTGCTTACTTTCTTATACCCATGAAAAATCTCTTATATCTCAAAATACTTCACAGTTAAGAATTACAAATATTTTGAAAATAAAGTAATTTATCTGTAAGTCTCCCTAAAGGAATAGTGGTTGGCAAACAAAAACCAACTCCAAATATGAAAAACTGACAGGAAAAAAAATTGTTGTTTAAAAGGCAACAAAATTTAATTCTTCTGACTGGTCCATTTTAATCCCATATGGAATTGACAAACTTTCCAAAATTGAGAAAATTTCCAAAATTGAAAAAGGGCTTAAGACATGGAATGCCTGCTATGAAGTATTTGCTAGTTCTACTTTTCAAACTTAAAAATTTTATAGTGGTCTGGAGAGAATTTTGTCTATTTCCTGTCTAATTCTGACTTTAATATTACTTGCGATTAAATTTTCAAAATTTAACCCCCCTAAATTATGGTTAGTTTTTATTATTATTAGAATATTATTAAAAAATTGGGTAGGATATATACTATGTATGTAGCACTACTAGAGCTTTGTCCTTTGCTTCAATGACAAATGAAACTCAGGCTAATCATGCTCATTTAAAACACAAAACTACAAACTAGTCCCATAATTGCCCAAAGAAATGTCCACTCGAAATTGTGGGTACTTCAAACAGAATTGTGTTCTGCATAATAGTGATAAGATATAACAACTTAGAACTTAATCCTCAGTCTTTTACATTTACGTAATCAGAACTGAGTAACTTGGTAGGTATCTCATGCTCCAAACATTCAGCTTATTAATTCAAATACAAATCATATGCAAATGTTATTAAACTAATAAATGCAAAGTCTGCTTGTCCTTGTTGGCTCCTATTTCAAAACCTTCAGAGGCTTATTCTGAAGCATGAAATTCAAAGACTCCTAATAGAAAACCCTTTTCCAGAAAGTGAAGAAGCTTCAGTTACAGTTCTTTTCAGAACAGCAGTGGCTCCCAGGACATGGGGAAACTATTTATAATAATGCAAGTCATTTAGGGCAAGCTGCACAGTGCATATTCTAATTCTAGGTGAAATTACTGCAGTAAACCAGCACAAGGTACTAGAGTACTCTACCAAGTAATAATTACAACTTGTAATGTTTCTATTAGGTTCAAGAAAACATTAAATAGAGGCTATACAGCTAGAAAAGCACCATCAAGTTGAGATATGCTTTAGTAATAGTGGTTTATTAGCCAAGATGGCCATTTTCTATTTTAAATCTGTCCAAAACAGAAAGGATGATGATGTTATGCTTTATCTCCGGGAAATCCCATTTTATTTTTTGGCAAAGAGCAAACAAACATAAATAATATAATCGAGAAACTTATGCTTTTAGATATATAATATTCATAATTTTATAATATTATATATAAAAGATTTATTTATATTATATATTTATATTCATATTTATATGACATAAAAATATCCATACAGTATTCAACTTGGATTTTATATTTATGATTCCTGCATTTTGCTGTGTTTTGGTCCTAAATGATCACAGAAATTCCTAGTAGAAGATTTGCAATAAATCCAAAATCTAGTTAACCTGGGTATTGATCAGAAAAATCTGTTTTGCAGCAATGATATACTATAATCAGGACCATTAGTGCAGAGTAAAATAAATAATACTGCATTCAGAGCAGGTGCTGAACTGAGTGAATTAAATATAATCTGGTATACAGTTTGAAGAATACAGATAAAAGAGAATATTGAAAGGTTGTTTATTATTTAGCCATCATTCACATTTTGCAGTAAACGAAGGAAGATTAAAAAAAAAGAAAATGTAATTAAATATTATATTTTTTGAAAAAGAGTAAAAAATAAGTCTTTCTGCTAGCATGGTTTAACATCTAAGTGTTTGACTTTGCAATGTTTATATTTAAAAAATCTTGGCAGAAGGTTTCTTTACTTTTTTATATCATTGATTTATTTCATTGATATGCAAGACTGAAGCATTGCTAAATGATTGGTTCTGCAGTATATCTATCTATCTAGGAATATAGATGGATGCATGTATGTACATAGGTACATATATTCACACAGATATATATGCAAATACATATACCTAATGCATCTTATGAGAAGGATGATTTTTCTCCTAAAACACCAAAAGAGATTTGGTTTAGATTTCAGCTTAACATCTATAAGTCACAGATGTCCAGCTGTAAACTTTAGAGAGCACTAGCCCTCTTTCTTTTAGTCTTTGTCTTATCTTGGTATCAAAGACTTGCACCATGTGATATATGTTGTCTGGGACCATGGAACTAGCATTAATAAGATATGCAGGAAAAAACAAAGATAAAAGAGTTTGTGTTCTGAAGTTCAGCTCTTGCACAGACACTTCCACAGCCTTAATGCTGTCACTACTTTTAATACATAGGGAAATTTAGCATATGCACAACTCTTTCAAGATCTACCCTCAAACGACTCTTTTGTTTCAGATGAATTTTTTTTTTCAAACAAACATCAGTAAGATAGAAGCAAAGCACAAATGAGGAAGGTAAAATGATTTTACCTCTCTTTCATCCATCTTCAGCCATTGTTTGGGATCATCCTCTGTGGCCAGGAAAGCTATGAGATCTAAGGCAGTAAGCCTTGTCTGACGTCTGGATGACACAAAAATAAGAACAGGCTTGGCTGGAGAATGACTCCGAATTGCTGTTGAGCAAAACAGAATTTGAGAATTAGACCCTTTAATGACAAAAATGAGAGTTCCTCTTTGCAATCCCATGGCAGCTGATAGACCTCCCTGCAGATGACATTCAGGTATGTCTACTGAGCCTTTATTCTGCTGGACAGATTCAAGTGAGGTGAGAGTACACCACCTCTGAACCAAAGGCCATAAAACTACATGTAGCTGAGTCTTCAGCTACTTCAGTGAACACTGTAAGCTAATTAAGAGAAGCAGTTATCAAAAAAACCCAACAAAGCACCACAAAATCTAGACAGGCTTCCGAGACTTCAAGCTCGTGAATTTTGCTATCTCAGCCTAAAAAGTAAGCTAATGTTTTTTCTATACTGCTGGGGTATGTTGTCTCAGACTCAGTGCCATGAAGGTCTAAAATTTGCTTTCTGCCTGACCCAGAGCTCGAGCTGCATAAACTCATGCCAGCCTACAGAGGATCACTTCAATCTACCAATACCAGAAAAGGTAAAAAAAGCAGAAAGTGACTTTTCAATAGCTGCTGTGAAAGTGGGCATTACAGTACAAGAGAACTTGGTTTCTGTGCCAACTTACTAGTCCAATATATTTAAACCAATTATGATATATTGAAACCAATTAGGTTTTAGGATTTTTTTAAATAGCATTTTCTTGCTCAGCCCATCTTTGAAAAGTTTCAGGTTGCAGGGAAATTTTTATGGTCTCAGGAATAAGTATTGCCATGAAAATGCTAAAATAACCTTGACTGTATCATGTCAAACAAGTCGGGAACAGAGCGTGCAATAAATCATATTTATACAGATTTTCTAACATCAACAAGCACTAGAAGTATAAACAGGTGTACCTAGAATTTCAAATACTCTCTCTAAACCACTTATAAATCCATTTGTGTGTTTTCTCATGTAATTCTCATTCAAGCAATTAAATTTATGTATTGTTAATTTCTGAACACTATTTCATACTGTCCACCAGCACATATTATTCTGCAGTTCATGAACACTACCCAGCATGTGCTCCTGCATACACACACGCAGTGCAGTTGTGAAATTATTGAAATGGGAAAATTCATGTGCATTTATATCTTACAACTATATACGCCAATATATCTAAATATTTTAAAAGACCAACATCTAATGGATTTTTGTTGCTCCAGGAACAGGTGTAGCAGAACAGCCCAAGACAGATTTATTGTTCATTAGTGTTTTTGTACAACGCTCTTGTGGAGGTGTAAATAATCCGAGCTGTCAAGATTGGTCTCTAGTCCACAATCAATACTTTGCTTCTGTCATAAGGCTAATTAAAGCAGCTAAAAAGTCCCCTCACAAATGTCACCTCACAATCAACAGCAGTTCACACCACAAAATTTATTTTGGAGGTTATTTTTAATTGATATAATAAATATTCCTTATGTAACCAAAACAAAACATGTTCAAATAAAATACAAGAGAGCTTTTCTTAAATCTATACTGCTTGCCAGCTTGGTTAAGAATAAAAAATTGGAAACAGAAGCATATCTGGATGCACTACAAATTTTGAATTTTATGGTTATTGCTTTGAAACTAGAATTATAGGAGGTTAGCCTGACTTGCAACTTCTGTTCACAATTTTTTTAATGCTAACATGCAGTGGTCCATATGAAAATACCTCAGCAGATTAATAATATGAATGATTTTATTGCTTTCTAAATTTCCAATATTTTTACACGAATATTTCTTTCTGGTGTCAAACACTAAGAGAAAGCACATTTTATTTCCCCTTCACTAACACTAATTTTATTCTTCTGTTCTAAATACATGACATTCCTCTTTCACATGTTGCATTTGCAGCACACTTTATGTTTCAGACAAATATCTTCGGGCCATTAGCAGAGCGGATTCTCCCAATACACACCCAGAGTACATACACTAACACATGTTGCAAATGTGCTGCAAATGAACTGTGCAAAGTCCCTTTTTCTTTTAGAGAAAGGAAGAAAAGGTCTAGGAGCTGGCTGCTTACCCTGAAAAGCAGGTTTGTTCATGCTGGCCATGCGAGGACAGTAATGCTGGCCAGGGAAGCCCTGGATGTGCACCTCCAGAGGAACTGGGCGCACCGATGGTCGGAAGTTGAACAGACCCATCTACAAGAGAAGATTTTGTTCAAGTTTAATCTTATTATCTTACCAATTGCTATTTTGTTTTCCTGCATGAAAACATTTTTCATACCTGATTAATGTTTAGCCAGTCAGCAAGGTCTCTGGCATTTGCTAAAGCAGTGGACAAACCAACCACTCTCACTGGCTTCTCAGTGTGAGATGAGATAAAGTTTGTTCGAGACACAATGACTTCCAACACTGGGCCTCTCTCATCCCCTAGGAAATGAAAAGTAAATGGAAAAACAGAGACAAAGGAAAGGTTCAGATGTCAAGAAGTATATTCACATCATAAGTACCAGCACACTTCAAATTTAGCAGTGATTTTGATCAAAAGCAGTGAAACATGCTCACCTAGAAGATGGATCTCATCTATGATGAGAATGGCAACTTTTTGAACATAGCTTCTGTTCTGCCAGCTTCTGCTGACACCATCCCATTTCTCTGGGGTAGTAACAATCAGGTCAGCTTGGGCAATAGCTCTCATATCAGGAGTCACATCTCCTGTCAATTCTACAACCCTGTAATCAAGAAGGACAGTGGCTTGGCTTCACAAAGCTTTACAACATCTTAATGTTAAAATATTTACACTTTAACTTAAATTCTTAAAAGAAGGAAGAAACAAAATTAAGCAAAGTAATTTTCCTTTTTGTCAAATACATTTAATAGGATTTTCAAAATTATTTTAAGTAAATAAACCTGCCTCTTTGTTTTCCTAGTAAATACTGTATAAATACCAAATATTGTTCTTTAGCAAAACCATATAGAAAGAAGAGGAAGAATATGAGTCCCAACCAACAGTTAGTTCTTCAAAATGAAGATAACATAATACTGGTATGATGTAATGTGAACCATAACATCCTGTCACAGACAGGATGAAAGCTTTCATGGAGGCTACCAAGTTGCTGCCTGCTGTTCTGCATAGATCTCTGGTTTGAATAATAAGGCTAAACCGCAGTGTGTATTGCATTTGTTGGTGAAGGTCCATTAAGACTGGTGCAGAGATTAGCCTCAGATTACTTTTTGAAGAAGATTAGCAGATTTTTTCCAATTGTTTGCAGCATTTGTGATGACCCATCATTTTAGATGGATCCATTATAATGGGTTTTAGACATTTCAATGACACATTCCAAACCCGGCTGAACATCAAACAAAAATTCCTAAAAGTAATGTGTATATTCTGTTAAAGATTATAAGTAACTGTAAATTTCAAAAAAAGAAATAGTGCCATAAAACATTTTATCTCATTTCTGTGATAACAACAGGAATATTACTGATAATTTCATGGACACAGAGGAGCATCTCTTTCTCTTGTGGTGTGCTTTGAGCTTAACTTAGGAAAAATACTATATTTGGAGAAGGTGAAGGCCCTAAATAATGCAGTCTATGCATAAAATTTTTAATTCAGGACACTATAATTTTGGAAAGCATCAACATGACTGATATACCTTATAGATCATAAAGTAATGGCTGAACTCCAACACCTGGGAAGATCAGCAAGAAATTAATGTTACCAAGGAATAAAATTATATTAATTTATATATGAAGGACATATACTACTATTATACAGTTCATGCAAGTCCTGTATGTTCCTTGCAGCTGAGGTTTCCAAGGAGAGCTTAGTTTGACTTACATTTTCAATTTCCAAGGATATTGTGGAGTGAAATCTGAGCTTTGTATTTTTTATACTGACAAGGAAGGAGAACGAAAATAGCTGGGTATCAAAGTGTATCCCTTTCTTAGTTCTGATTTTGATTTATCACTTTTGATCTATCATGTTTGATCTCAGTTTTGATCTATCAGTGACTATTGATAGAGCTTTTCAAGTACTAGAAATTTGAAGGACATTATAAAACCAAAACCCTTTTAGAAAAACTCATAAGTATTGTGAGATTTTACTCATATGAGATGAGCTGCTCTTTTGTTTCTCATTTCTCTGATTAGGTAAGGAGAAACATACTTTTTACCAAGCTTTTCTTCAATCCTGACTTTCCAGTCCTCAATCCTCTCACGGACGAGTGCTTTCAAGGGTGCAATGTACACTGCCTGCAAAAGAAAAGGCACAGAACTAGAAGTAAAACAAGACACCTTTATTAAAGTGCACCTACAACACATGGCATTTGTGAGATTTGAACATACTTATAATCCATAAAATAAATAAGGTCTGAGTTCCTGAAATGACCTACAACAGGATTATATTTAAAACAGACACAATGCCTGAAAATAATGGTTTCTTTCCTGAGCAATTAAGAATATTTAGATAAGGAATAATTTCTTGAAATTGAAGTATTTATCACACCTTTTAAAATCCAAAACCCACTTATGTAAATAATGGCTTTTGTTGCCATGACTATAAAATCTGCATGTTAACATTCCAGAACAGAAATAATCTGAATTTCTGACAAGCAATATCCTACCTGATTTCTAGTTATGTCATTAAATTAATAAAAAATACCAATTAAGTAAAAAAGCTGATTATCTTAAGCAAAATGTCACAATATTTTTCTCAAAGAAGCCTGCAGTGCAGAGGGGAATATGCTTACATGTACAAAACATATTTACTTATAGATTTATGGTTAAAAATTCTAAAGCTCTTGAACAATGAAGAAACTGCTACATGAAGAGTTCACATACATTCTTTCAAATATATAGCCAGGCTTCCAGCTTTATTAAAACCTAAAAGATGCATTCCTTTGAGAACTGGCTATTTTGTATGTCTCACAGATAAGTTGAAAGTGTATGAGTGACTTATTTACCTCAACTGGACTAAGAAATTACATGAAGATATTTAAATTCAAAGATGATTAAGGAATTTATGCACAGAATTTCTGTTAATGGAAAGGTTATACTTTTTAAAAAAATCTCCTAGCCAGATACAAAGATTTTTTAAAGACTTTAAATCTAAAATGTGGTTAACTAAGACAATATGGCTAAGTTGAGAAGCAGATATATATTCACTTTGAAAAGAAAGCTCCAAAGGCTGAGTTGTTCAGCTTTTAGACAATTTAAAACACAGGGGGGAGCTGGAACAGAAAATTGGCTTGTAGTAATTAATTGCAACTTATTTGTTTAAATAATAGAGAGACTGGGCTAGCTGTAGTCCCATGGAAGGGAACTGAAAGCTATAAAACAATACCACTACTAGTATAAGGAGATTAAAGCAGGAAATGCTGTTAAGTAGGGAAGAAAAGGAAATCCAGCATGCCTGCATGTCATTTTTGTAGATTTAACTCTGGCTGTCAACTGATTAAAATAAATAGTTAAAATAAAAGCATAATGCACATAATGCACTACCATTGTATGCACACACATACAAACTGGAGAAAGTAAAATTCAGTTCCCCATAGTCCTTCTAGACTCTTTTATTACTGAGATGCTCATAACAAAATGATTCCAGTAAACCTGTTTTACAAACCTTTGATGTGGGATACTTGTTAAAAACTCTAAAGATGGCTAATTCAGCTGCAACCGTTTTTCCAGAACCTGTAGGAGCTCCAAGAAGAACATTGCAGTCTGTGTGATAGAGGGTATGGAATATCTGTGTCTGAATGGGGTTGAAGTGTGTGAATTTGTACAGGGCTTCATATTCAGGATGTCCCAAGGCTGTGATAGGCAGAGGCTGAAGATCCAGAAGCTCTAAAACCACAAAATAATAGTGAGTGGATGACAAGAGATGCCATGACATGACATAGCTTGTTATGGAGATAAATATATTAAACAGCAATTTAGTGAAAAACAGTTTAGATTGAACAATGTTTTACTTAGTGTCTCATAGGACAGAGTACACATTTGGGTAATTGCTCACTTTGATGAAGAAAAATGAAAAGTTGTTTTATAGCTCTGAAATAATTCTGCAAGTAATTTTGAAAATCTGATTTGAAAATCTGATAGCTGTGAACCAGCTATTTGCACATTAATCTTTTTCTTATACCTGTTTTCTTTTTTTCCACTTGTATTGAGTTCTAAACTCACTGTGTTAGATCACATGTATGTCCAGCTTCTTATCATAACAGAATGTGGAGTATTTCAAGTTCAAGGGAAAAATCTTTTTAAGAAGGAAGGATTCTTTGGAGTTTCCAAGTTGATGGGGTAATACAAATCAGATGAGTACAGCATCTTATCCTTTAAATGTATAATTAAAGACATAATCTTAATAAATAAACAAACATCTTTTCAATATATGATTCTCAATATATCTTGAGGGCATCTGCTATCCAAAGAATTAGAGATCGTGGAATTTGGAAGATGATATATATAACCAGATTGGATTTGGAATCCTACCAAATTAAGGAGACTGCAGTGATTCTGCTATGCAGATGCTTGCTTTGAAGTTTGGGTTTGGTTTTTTTTTTGTGGCTGGAGGTCTCCTTGTCTTTTCAGGGTGCTTAACATTAAGGTATGATATGGGAGTCATAAAACCTACTGAGGCAATGATGCCTAATATTCTTCACATGCTTTTCACTGATACCTTATGGCTGTTTATCATTCCCACAGAAACAGTGATTTCTTGGGCTCTGTTGAGGAGAAAGAAGGGTTTTTTTGCCTAGCAGAGCCTCTACGTACTTCGTTGTTGAGTGGGAACCAGATGGGAATTGAAATCAATTACCATAAATCCTGGAGTCTCCATAACTGGTGATGTGTAAATATCTTTCTGTTTCTTCTGAATAGTAGTCAGTGATCAGTCAATTAGATAAAAAGGTTACACATGCTTTTCCAGACAGTGTAGGTACAGTATAACAATAGCTAAACACTTCACAAACACATGTGAATTTATGCACGCCAAAGGACAACACCGTATGAGAACTGTGCATTTCTGAAGGCACTCAGCAGACTGCTAGATGAGCCAAATGTAATTACAGAGGAAAGGTTTTACAATGACATCAGCCCCAATGAATGTATAAAGCAATTTATGTATCCAGAAAAAAGAAGCAAAACACAAACATATGCTTCTGTGCCAAGTGTTAAAAAAGGAGGGGGAGGGGAGGGACACAACTTGATGAGATGAAATGTACATTCAGTGCTGCAACAGTTCTTGCTATGATAAACATTTCTTAGCAAAAGTAGAAAAATGTTTCATATTTTCAAAATTTTCATTGTTTTTTCTTTGCTAAAAGCCATTTATTAGACAGTCTAAGATTATTTTTAGCCAGTCCAGAAGAAAAGTATTGCTTGCAAGCATTAAGCTAAGACATATCAACACAGAGATTTGCTTAGTTTTGTATGACAGGTTCAGTTTTCTTATGGTTTATAGAGAATCTGGAATAACTAAGATGAAACCAAAATTCTTTCATTTTGTTCAGGAATTGAAAACTTAGAAAGCTGGAGAAGAAATACCACAAAGTGAAATTCCAGACATTTTTCTCCAATGAAGCAGAAGTAAGAGTCTTATTGCACTACAATAAAAAAACCAATATGAGCAATACCCATTAAAACAAAATTATCAAATTTGAAGTTACCTGTATGGGGTGGATGTCTCTCTGGAAGAATCAAATGTTGAAAATTTATGATACATACTGCCTCTGCTCCTAACCATCTATCAGACACAGCTCGAATGTAATATTGAGAAGGAAGAGGTTCAAAAATTGGGATTGTGAACACCAGCAGCTGAGGCTCTTTAGTAATGACCTAGTGCAAACATGTAGAGAATAATTACTGCACAGAAAAATCAGTAACTTGAAAAATCACAGTTTGCCTCACTTCCATAAGCATTGCTAACACAAAACAATAGAGTATGTGTGCAAATATTTACATCTTTATAAAATATTTTACTGTCCGGAATGAATTTTTTTTCCATAGTCTTCCAAAGATGAAAAATAATGCTGGCTTTTCATCTTGTTCTTTAACAGACAAAACCATTATAGTCTTTCTAGATCACTTGAAAATAACTGTCCCAGCAAAGGAGGAAGAGAAAAAGGGACACTTGAGCTTAGAAAACGTTGTGGAAGTCCAAGCTGATCAGGTACATCTGAATTTGAAATCTGTACTGCTGATTTGAAAATCTGCTTAGGCCAAAATACTGTTTGACCTGACAAATCCACATTTCACTAACTTTGTTTTTGTTTTGCTGTGAGATTCTGGATGAAGTCCATTACCTGTTTCTTTTGAATGATGAAGTACTCTGAATGATAAATGTGATCATTAGTAGGGTCTTCTACCCAAATCCACCAGGGCTCTCCAACACTGCCATGTACCTTTATGAGTAGAAAAGATAGCTTTCTTTTAGTTCTCTGGGTTTAGATTCTCTGGATTTGTTACAAATAGTGGATGTATTTCTAAATGACACAGGCTCATAAAGGAATACAGAAGTACACAAATCAGAGGTAACAGAAAAATAACATTTTTAATCAGATGAGTCTGCCTAAAGATTATGCTTCAATTAGAGTTTGCTTAAGGTACGTACAATAAAAATGGACATGATACAAATTCAACTGAAGGTAGTGCCTCAGCTGTTTATAAATTCACTTAATCCCAAGAGTTCCCTCTAGGCTCCTATGAAGGAACATGTTCTCTTTATTCCTCCCTGTACTTTTGCCTTTAGGTTCTGTACAGAAGATTGTTGTTTGCAGCTGTCTGCTCATTTTTCAGTCACAAACAATCTCTCAGGAAAAAACTGGACAAGGAATTGTGATATTGCTCTCCTCTCTCTCATCCCTCTCCTCTAAAGAGATACAGCAAGTGCATTCAGAAGGCTGTAATGTAGCCTTTGTTACAGGTGAAGTGAGAAGAACATAAATAGAGCCATCACTTGATGATTTCCCTGCCACCTGGCAACGTCTTTTTAAACCTAGACTTTTGTTTGCTTTGTTGTGTACTTCATTTTGCAATGCCAGAAATCATAGCTAGTTATGATGCTAAATTAAAACTTTTTTTGTTTTTTTTTTGCCAATGTACAGGTATTTTACATAAATATTTCAGAAAATAAGAAAAATGCATGGTAAAGGAGTACGGAAGACATAGCACTAAATGAATGCAGATTTCTGATGTTTCTGATGAGGTCTGTGATAAGTTGCAAAACCAGGAGATGAAAAAAAAGTTGAAATTTTTCCTAAACTTAATAGAAAAAAAGTCAAAGTGCATAGTTGCTTCTAATGGCAATTTTAATGCTCCAGGAATCTGGTATTGATTCACACAGTACACATTATTTTCAGCATAATTCATTACTGTGTCTGTGTCAGAAAACAGTCTGTACTAGTTTGTGAAGACAAAACTATGCACAAAGAATAAAATTAAGGTGCTTTTCTTTCTTTTTTACCACAGTTGCACAATAGACAAATAGATGGACTGTAATTTATTTTTATTACATTTGAATTTCACTTGCAGCTTCATTAGGAACTGAAGCAGTGAAACTGAAATGACACACAGGTGACATCTTGAAAAGTGAAAGTGAGACTATTATTTCATCTGGGTTTAGGAGCATTTAAGAGAGATAAGAAGAACTAAGGGAGGCAATCAAGTCCAAAGCTCAGAAATTTTATTATTGACTGTAATAGCAACCTAATTTTGGAAAGTCCCATGAAAAAACTGCATGGGGTAAGCAGGACAATCTGGGAACAGGAAACAACATCTTCTCCAGTAATGATTCTCAAGGACTGGGGAGCTCTTAAAACTGGCACATACCTGCGCCTGTATTTTGGGCAACCATCACCCTAAAAGTACATGTCTGATATTTGACTCAGCTAATTCATACTATTTGCATTATTCTGCATTTCTGCTGGACTCCTCCTGGACGCATTAAGGCTTAATTGCTCTGTCTGGGTATGTTTATAGTCCTTTGCTTCTAACAATAGAATAAAAATCTGGGATTTGGCTCACATGATTTTGCTGAACTTAAGGGTTCCCTGTACTGAAAACTAAAGATAAGCTGATGTCATATCTCACAAAAACATCTTTCTCTTCTAACGTCATGCACAGTTTGTGATGAGATCATAATAGAATTAATTATCTGGGTAAAGGATCAATCTTAAAAGCATGAAATGTTAGCCAAGCAGGGTATTTCAACTAAGCATGGTATTTAAGGTTTTCATAACTGGTTTTATTTGATTACTGCAATTCTTTAGACGAGATTTTTTAGCAACTCACTTTTGTACCAAGTACAGGTATACTGGTAAGTTTCTATAGCCATCTTCTGAGAAGCTTGTTAAAATAATGTGGTGATAGAGAAGCAGTTTCAGAGTGTCTATGCTTGAATTTGAGAAAGCTATTCATTTTCAGAAACTATTAAAATTTAACAGCTTTAGTTATTTATTGTGATAAAAGCTTCATTTACTGAAGAAACAGGAAAATCAACACCACATTACAGAAATAAAAAAAAGAAAAAAAACCACTTTTCCAAGTTTTTATGATCACCCATAAACAAATTCACATAAAAACATCTCCATAAGCTTAATTGATACAACAATCATAATATATCTAAAGCAATCATCAGAAAAACTGTATAAAGGGGTCATGGCAGAAAACAGACTTGTGACAAACTTTTGCTCTAAATTTAGAAGTTCAGAATCAAAGCAACAGTATAATTTTGTGTGGATTCCTAACGTGTAAAGATATAGAACCTAGGTTTTCTAGAAAAACCTAACAATGGATTGGGAAATTACTTTGTATTAAGATAAAGTTCACTATGAAGAACAGTAATTTTTTTGTCTTTAGCAGATTACAGGTAAAGTGGATGAACTGAACAATAAAAACTTGTTTCAATCCTAAAAAGTAATGCTTTCTTTTCCTTCTGAAGTATTGCCCATAAATAAGGTTAAAAAAATATTCATGTTATAATTCACATTAGAAATCCATTCAAATATTTATTCAACAAACCTAGGTGGCAAGCAGAATCAAACTTTCTATGTTTTGATTGATCAAACTCTGTATTTTGATTGCTAATATCCCATTTATAAGGTAACCCGATGAAACTTCTACAAGAAATTAAAAAACCTTTCATCAGGGAAAATAAATTCTAAAGTAATTTAAATATTTGTGGAATAAACCTCTCATTTAATTATAATTAAGGTAAAAATTGTAATCTAAGAGATTTTAAAATTAATTTTTAATAAAAGAACAGATACTTAATATCCACATTTCAAAATAATTTATCTTAAGCATAAATTTCATGAGTCTAAAAGAAGAAAATTATGTTTGCCTATGGAGGTATCTTTTTTTCCTGTAGAAAGTTTCAGAAGTAACAGCAACAGTACAACGCCCCCATGTGGACATTTATGTTTCAATTAGATTTATCTTAAATGCATTTCTAATGAACAGATTCTGAATCAAAGGATGTGTGTATAGCTAAATGTGAAACTGGTACAACTGCTTTCATATAAATCTGCACTATAAAATACAGATGAACATAATTCCAAACATATCTCAGGGTTTTTTTGGTTCAGACAAGTCCCAGTAGAAAAAGGCACTGATATTGTGAATGTATATTTGTGAAGCCAAGAGGAACAGGAGAACCTGGCATACATGAACTGCATTTCAAAGCTTTTCTGTGTTTGATGTTTGTTCATATTCAGAGAGCCATTCATGTCTCCCTTTCTCTTGCTTCTCCCTTCTGGGCACATAACTCTAATCTGTGTGTGACTACTGTAAATATCCAGTGTTAAGCATTTGCCTCAATGTGTTATATACACAGCCCAATCTTACATGGCTTAACAGAAATGAAAAGATGATCCTTGCTTGCTTTCTTCAACAAAAGTCATAAAAATCATCCCATTCCTATTATCAAATTTGCTTTTTAGTTAAAATAAATGCTTTTTAAAAAATCCCAAAAGCTCTGGACAATCAGTGATCATCTCCTTTAGTGAAACTAAACTAATGCTTCCCTTCCTGCCTCCTGCTCCCCCAGTTTGTACCTGGTCACTCCAGGTGAAGTCGGGCGCGATGCTCAGCCGCACGCGGAGCACCGTGCGGGTGATTGGCTGGATCGTTGCTTCCATGATGATGGAGGGGATTTGATGGACACACTGTTTTACCTTCAACCCAATTTTCACATGATGCAGCATATGACCTGCCAAGAAAACATCAGGTGTAACGAATTTGCATTGCCAGGAAAAAGCGTACAACTCTGACTTTCAAATAGGCTTTCAGAGAGCAGTATTATTGCTTGCTTGTTTTGCTCCTGGCTACGTAAATGTCTGACTCTCTTGACCTAGCATGTCTGAATATTTTGTAATACTTAACTTGAATTAGCAATTTAGAGCCTTGAAAAATCAGTCTTAACCCCCTCGTTGGCTATAACTAAGGGGTTAAAATAACAATTAAGAATTCACACTGAAAATATTATGTCAAGCTAGTTCTCTCTCCTTCACTTACTTTTAGACCAGGCTCTAATCAAGCCATAGAATTCTTTTTCAGAGCACAAATACCAATTTTTTACTTAATTCAACTTCTACAATTTCTGTGTAGTGATTCAAAGCAGACAGAATGCTTTTCATAAAATTGAAAAAAGGTACTTAATAGGTTAAAAATGCACATAAGTAAACACCTCACAGCAGCTCTGATCTGTGAGAATATACCAGTGTGTAACTGAGACAAAGGAAAAATTAAATGTTGCAATATTTTTTAATTTTCTATTGTAATCATGGTAACTAGGGCAATAAAGTGATTTTATTTATTTAGAAAAATGTCCTACTTGTATTTTGCAGCTCAAATCTCTCTTCCCTTGCTCTTCATTTTGAATATAAAAGAAAGTATGCAGCAGTAATTTCTTTTTTTTTGCTGAAATTATTCCACCTTCTGGCTTATTTACTACATTTTCACTGGAATTGTAATGTAATTATGTGGAGCATATTTTAGATTTTAATTGTGATGATCATAAATGCTCCCTGTTAGAATCTACCTTACCAATTGCTACTGATATTTTCTGGTATCGTTATGTGGTTCTGTGCATACTTACCCATTTAAAAAAACAAAAAAAATTCAAAAAAGGAGAAGTCCTATTATTTGCATTATGTGCAAAGTGACAAGGTGATCCAAACCTTTCCTTGCAATTACAAGACATCTATGAGCACAGCATCTTGAAACTGGTATTTTTAAATTGATACTGACTTTCCGTTTTCAGTTTTTCTTATTTAACAAATTGGCAGATAGATTTTTCTCACACAGGTCTTTACATTCTGAAGCAATGAATGGTGACCTTGCTTTAAAAATCAAACCCCTAACCAGAAGTTTGAACACCTATTTAATCAGTTTAATTTGCAGTTGGTAAAACAATTGCATCTCCAACAAGTGGGTTATTAAAAACCAAAACCCTTATGTTGGTACACTGGGATGATACATGCAGCATTTCAGCATATTTGCACAGGGACTAGCTTTTGCAATTAGAGGTAAAACTTCAGAAATCATGTTAAATAAAGGCAGATGACAAAGATTCAAAGATATGACTATGTAGGCAGGTATATTTTTCATGGCAAAAATCACTTTCTTTTTCTAAACGTGTGAGGTTTGTATAGGATAGCACTGAGATCCTTTTACAGTTATGAGCTAGGGGAAAATAAGGCTCCTCTTCCAACTTCTACAAAACGTGATAAAACTCTCTCCTCCCTAAGCTCTCTCTTTTTTCTTTCTAATAAGAATTCTTTTTAATATGTTATATTATGAGACACCATCAATGGCATTTAAAAAATACTAAAACCCTCTGAACAAAAGCTGACAAAGAAAATAGGCATGTCTAAAAAAAAATTTGCTTATTCTAAAATGTTTGTCATCTGCATTGTGAAAAAAAAAAAAAAGGGACTGTTTATCTCAGCTAACACAGTGATTTCCTGGCTATCTGGAAACTCCATGGTTACATTGCAATAGCTCATAGATTGGTGTTGATCCATTCATGGTACCCTGGAATCCAGGATCTGTGCACACAACATGCTCTCCACCCACCTGAGGCTTTGATCTCCCCCTAAGCCATGGGCTGAGTTAGCCAGCCAGTTCCTGTCTTTGTCACTCTATCTCCAAGGTCTCCACAACATTTAAAAAGCAAAAAACACCAAGACTGAAACCAGCCCTGTGGGGTAAGAAAACAAGGCAGTAGCTGGAAGTTGTGCCTTCCCTCATTTGAACACAGCTTAGAATTTGAAATAAAAATACAGTGACTTCCTTAGCACACCTCAGAAATCAAGGCTGGACAGGAGGAAATGTGCCAAGCAACTACTTCACAGAGATACACACACATCAACCTTTGATATTTATAAGGCTGAAGAACATGAAATATCATTATGTATGGTCAGCAGTGCCCTATTTTTACAGTCAAATCCCATGTCTCATCTACTTTCAAACTAAGGTAATACAAACCAGAACCAGACAAATTGCCGGCATACATAGGCACATTTCCATCTTGTCAATACTGCTTCCAATACATTGAAGGAAGCAAAATTTGCTTTGTATTTTTACACAAAATTTCCTGCTTCTCAAGCGAAGGTATGGGGAGAAAGAACAATTAAAAAATACCAAACCCAAACAAAACAAAAAAAAAACCCAAAAAAAGGTCCTGATCCCCCAAAGTTCAGTGTTACTTCTCATTATTTTACATATAAAAATTTGAGTTTTTAGTGTAATGTTTCAAACAAATTATTAATCAAAATGGATCTTCACTTGGACTGTTTAGAAAATTAAAAACATACAGAGCCTTACTTAGTCTCATCTGTGGGGTGATCTCCGTTCCCCCTCTCTGTTGAAACAGCTCCACAAAACCAGCTCCACAAAACCAAACAACAACCACAAAATAAAAAAAAAACACTAATACAATGAATGGAAAAGAACACTTAGCACTTAAAGGCATCACAAATACACAAAAAATTAACAGTGAGTTAAAAAGTGCTATAACACTTCTGAATAAAAAAACCTATAATGTTAGCATTTCAAATAAAATGCAATGGTTTTAATACATTTAACATTATATTAAAATGCAGGTAAAGTCAGCATCTCAAATTTTGTCATAGTCTTTTGGTTTAACTCATTAAATGAAAATGTAACATCTAATTCTGCAAACTTTTACATATTTATTTAACTTTTTTCAGCCTAGATTAGGCACATAACAAAGTTCTCCAAGCTAGCAATGTAGTGCTCCTGCATATGAAAGAAATATTAAGTTAGATGTGATAGCTTCTAAGCAGTGAGTATGAACGGTATTTTTATTCTAAAATTAGATTTTTCAAAAAATGGCAGTTTGTTTAGCAACAGGTTGGTAATAGCAGGTGCAAACGAAGTCCAAATAAAAAAAAAATACACTAAGGAAAAAGAAATGCATTACAAGTGATTTTTTTTTTTTTACTTCAGCCAGATGGTGGGCAGTTTATGCATAACAGTTTATACAGACTTACTGGAAATTGTCATTATGTCTATCGGTAGGCTTGTGGATTTTCTCATTATTGGACTGTCAAATCCTTTAAAAAATTCCATTAAGGTTTTGTTGCAGTGACACCAGTGACAATGAATTCTCCATGTTCAATGAAAATTAATGCAGTCTTTCAGAAGAAGGCCATTTACTGATAGCATACCTGGATGTAATAATCTGGTTTTATTCTTTTCCATATTAATAGTTAAAGAAATAAGGCCACATTGTGCCAACTGGCAAAAGTAAACAGATGCCTTTTATAGTAGTGTGTTATGTAAGGTGGGCAGAAAGGGAAGCACACAGGTCAACATAAATATGTATATCTACACGTATCCACCTAAATACTTATCAATAGACATCTCCTTTCCATCTGTGTTCTGTGACCACCAGGACATGGGCTGGCCTTATCCTCAGAGCTGTGCCATTTTACAAGCTGTGGAGACTGGAAAAAACCTTCTTTATTGGACAAACCATATTAATGTGTGGTATGTGGCTTCCAGAGCAGAGAGGGAATATTGATGCATGGCTCAGATTCAGCTCTTACTTGCCCATTGTTTTCTATAGTTTAAGCACATCAGCCTTGCTGGTTTCTCACCTATTTCATCTTTCCTCATGTCCTTCATCTTGTCGATGGTGAGATTCTTCTCTTCCAGCTTGGAGAGGACGGAGGGGGGTAGCACTGAGAACTGCCTCAGAGGGCTCACCCAGCCCCAGAGCCGCTTGTCAATGACCTTGCTGAGGTTCAGGAGCCGGTAAGTCATGGCAGGCCAACGCTTCCTCAGGGCAATCTCAAAGAGAGCCCGAACAATGCGGGCTGCATTCTGGAAAGTGAAAAGCGGGGGGGAAAAAAAGCAAAACTGTTGTAATTCTCTCAATACTCTTTGTAAAATGAAAAGGATCCCATAGACTCATCTTTGACAAACCATAACAATAGATTTTAGATTTTTCTTTTCGAACTGATTTCAAACATTTTTGAAAACCATTTTTTCCATCCCTGTCTAGTGACAAAACTACCTCATGGCTGCATTCTGAAATTATGAAAAGAAACATGTGCAACCAATTAAAATTGTAGTGTCAGGTCTGCCATAGAACTTTGATCACAGTTATGCTAACATTATGGAGTTCTAAGTTTATTGTGTATCAATCACTTCTGAAGCAAATTCACTTAATATACCCCTCCATAACAGACACCTGCAAATTCACTTTATATGGAAATTCAATTTTTGTTATTTTCTAGTTTATGCTTCTATAATAGCATTGCATCTCACACTGGATTTCATAACATTTGCACAGAAGCTTAACCGTAGTGAATGTTTAAAAACATTTACTATATTCTGAAAATAGTGTACAACCAAACTGTACAAATATGCTTTGGACTTGGAAAAATAATTATTAACATAAGTTTGAATGAGGTCAGTCTTATCCTGAAAACCTAAGTTATGATATTCCTTTTATAAACTTTTCAAGCTGCATTATGAAGCTATACTTTTTTTTTTCTTTTTTTTTTCCTCTACCAGTACTATGTCTGGATTAGGAATTATGTTCTTGATTCATTGAATAGAATATAATCATTCCCTACTGGCTCTGCTATGCCAACAGGAATAAAAAATAGAAAATTATTTGGTTATGATAGGAAGCATATGTTACTACAGAAGCACATTCCTCTTATTTAGAAAGGATGAAAAATTTTCTTAATACTCACTATCCAAATTAAAAAAAAAAAAAAACCCACACTTTGTAGCACTGGTTCCACAACTATATGAAGATCTAAGAAGAAGACCATGTTGCCTCACTAAAGATGCTATAAATGAGACAGACAAATAAAAGGAATTGCCTTGAAAGCAAAGATTAAAAGGATTCTACTGAAAATGATTTTGCTATGCAAGTGCACAATTTTTATGGTGTGTACAATCAATTCAGCATTTTCTCATTTATACTCATATGTGCTACAAAATACAAACACTTCTGAAAAAGATTTTGTTACTATGAAAATGTTGCTAAAGACTATGTATAATTTTGAATATTTAAATCTCATCTTTAGCACCAACCAACTAAATGCAACTTTTAGATTAACTCTTTCCAAAGCAGTTTTGTAAGGATGAGACAAAAATAACTCCATGCAACATCTCTGCTGACTATTAAATTTAGAATAGAAGAGTGAGAGTGAGACTGAGATGGGCTAAAAGGGACCATTTTTTGGGTTCACAATTGTCTACATAGATCTCTGTGTCATGTTCCCCTCTGTACCTGCCTATGTGTGGTAACTAAACATGCTGTGTTACAATCAACCCTTTAGGTGTCAAATGAAACCAACAAACAAATACATAGACTGGTATGTCAATCTGCACATTTTTTGCTGGATTACATCCAGCAACAGAATTACAACAGCACATCTTTCATGAGAAAACCAAGGTATGCGAATCAAACACAAAATATGTTTTGCAAAATGAAGTATAAAAACACATAAAGCATAAGAAAAGATTACAACAGTTTTTCACATTCAAAAGAAAACCCTGAAATTTAGAGAATATAATTTCTGTGCAATCACAGTTAGAGGAACTAAATAGAATAAGATTACATGGGTACTACAAACAAAAAAGGACATTCATAATTAACAAAAACTGCCATAGTTTCCCAAGGCAGCCTTTTGCAAAACTTTTCTACTCAAGTTTTATAGCTTACATGCATGCATAAACACAAGGCTCTGATTTTCAAAGAAATTTGCACAAAAATGTACAAAAAAGATGTAGATTGGGGCCTACTTGTATAATTGTAAATATTTGGGAGAATTAAAACAGCAGAAGTCAGCAACAAATACATAGAAAATACTATTTTTACCTGTGCAACATATGCAGAATCCGAAATAAGGGAGAAGCTGTCCATCTCCCCTCTGCTAATGTATGTTTGAAGGAGGATATTAATTTTTCCATAATTGTTTTCCACACCTCCTGGAGCAGGGAGTTCACAGAAATCATTTAGTAAGGTATCTAGCTCTTCTATTTCTTCTTCTCTTACCTACAACACAATTATATATTATGAAGAGGCTGAAGCAATTTGATGAAAATTTTTACACTGAAATCAAATTTTCTTTATAACATGGTTATATTACTTTTAAATGGAGCCTCTAGTTTTAAGGAGAAAAAAAAAGAAGAAAAAAAGCAGTAAACCCACATCTTCCACAATGTAGCTAATAGACCATAATTGAAACTATCTTAATAGGGACACAATTACATTTTGTTATTCATCACCATCTATTAAGGTTGCCATTGACATACAAAAATTTGATATGCCACAAAAATTGAATCTTGTGACCTTGTCATCCTTCATCTGATGAGATTTTATTTTTTATTTGACCAGAGTAAAACTTCTGTCCATCTGGATTAGGGCAATCTTGAATTAACATTAAATGTACTCATTATAGTTACACAGTTTGCATGTGATATAATACATTTTTAAACTCAAAACTGTGAAGTACTATGATTCTTCATATTAAAATTTCCACTGTTAATAAGATTAAGTCTTAATATGAGTAAAGAAATATTAATATCTATGGTTTGAATAATGCATAACATTTCACATTCTAACTGATGACCCTTACATGGCAAAACTAGCATAAATCTACATATTCTTTGACTTACTGATAGTCTGTTAGTGTAAAACTTATTTGAAGAGGGTAAATGTTTGGTCCCTGCAGGGAACCATCTGAAAGTAATTTTCATTTGGACCTGACTACCTGACATACAAAAGACCCTAAGACAATTGGGTTAAAATCCCCAACTTTCTAGTGACTAGTCCCACAGGAAAGAAAGACATGAAGTACAGAACCATCATAAATGAATCCACTTTCAGGGGAATACTATGCTCTGCTAACAACAGCATTTTGGATAATTTTTTCTGCTCTTGCACAGCACAAGTACACGCCTTATCCAGATCTGTATTTCAGCTACTGGTGAGTTACATATCTCAAAATTCAGAATTTTTAAAGGCATTATGGAAACGTGATTAATTTATCAAAAGTCGCAATTTCTATCACACAGAGGGGCAAATCCTGAGCTATTCTTGTGAAAACCAGTTATTCATTTTAACATTCAGAGCTGCACAGCAAATGAATCACAAAAATCTGGAAATGACAGTGCACTGATGCCATACCATATAAATCTGCGAAAGTAAACTAGAAAAACTGTGCTCTAGTCAAGAAGCATCACTACTAACTTTATTAAAAATACAGAAACATATCACATGATATTTTCCATATGCTTTCCTTTTAAATATTAAATTACGCTAAATTTAGACCTAGTCAAGCATTATCACTGTCATAAAAAAAACCCTCTAGCTTGGAAAATGTTCCATGTATGACTGTGAAACCTCACTGCTTATTATCTTCTATAATAGAAGAGATTACAGCAAAATAGAATTTCTCCATTAGATAAAGAGATGGTAATACCCAGACAATGTGTGCAAATATGTAAATATGTAGATGGTGAGGGATTCAGGCTGTCAGCTCGCAGAGCCAGGTGAATGAGAGCCAGCTCTGATCTGCAAGTTGTATAATTGTGGTAAAATGGCAATGAGCCCAAGCTAACAAACCCTGTGGAGTCTGGCTCGTCCCTCTGTGAGATGGAAGCATGGGCAAACAAGCTCATGCCAGCTTGGAATGTGCTGCCTTGTGTCCTGCCCACACGGGAGGCAAAAAAGGGAAGTTGGAACTGAACTGAGTACAATACAGCAGTAATCTTCTAACCTGTGCAAAATCTTATGACAACTTTCTAGATTTCAGATTTGAATTTATGAGAATTTATTGTTCCGCCAATCTAATATTGTTCCCTGCAGAAAATATATCAGAATTCACTTCCGTGAGTCCTGCCTCATTCCTGATAAAGCAAACTGTTCAGGGAGACATCCAATAATGCCTTGAACTTCAAACAGAGAAACTATCTCATCCCTCGGCACACTATTCAGATGGACACTTAGCTTCACCTGTTAATAACTGAGGAGCTGAAAAGTTGTTAAAAGCATTTTAAAGAATTACTCAAAGATCCATAACTAGCTATTAAATGCGCATTACAGTTCAAGCTGAACTACATACAAATTTGAGTGAGAGCATATTATGTTTACTCAGAAAACATTTTATAATGGTGCTTAGCATTTAACAAAACTTGTGTCTGTAGACAGTATTTATGGAGTAAGTACTACAGAAGTGTCTAGCTTCAAGAAATTCTTTAACCTTACCTTTATCTGTTCAAACTCTTCAGCTTTTGATACTATAGCAAGAATATCACCTTCGGTTTTATGAGCATCAAACAATTCATTGAAAGTCTATTAAAAATAAAAAGAATTGATTTGTCACTGGAAATAAAAATACACATATAGTAGGAAACAAAGAAACCTTATCCAAGAGTTTAAAAGGCATACAAGGCTAAAACGCAAGTTATTGGAAGACCAGGGTGATGCAATTTAAACAGGAACAAATTCCATAATGACCTTTTGTCAGTTTAAAAAAACCAATTCCTCCCAGTGCCTTGGCCACTCCAACAACAAGAGACATGCAATGTGGCCACTTAAGAAAAAAAGTCTAGGACATATCTGACTGAATAAATATATGAGACTAATTATATACAGTGACAGTACACAGTTAAAAATTATTAACGTTGAGTCTTTTCTTTCTTTTATTCAAGAAAAACACTTATTCGCTAAGAACGAAAATGTTTTAAGATGAATGTGTACATCAAATCAAGTTTCCAATACTACAAAATTTTGAACATGTTTACAACACAATCTGATTACAGTGCCAGAAGTTGTTCAAGGTTGTCAACAGGACAGGACTTTCTGCCAGAGAAGGTCATCTGTTATCAGACACTACAGTACAACGTGCTATCAAGTCCTAATGGTTGCACATACCATGAATATCAAAATGTTTCTTATAATTCTTCTACAACAAGTAAAAAAGACTACAGAAATTTAAATCTCATCTCACACTGAGTCTAAATTTTCAGTATTGCTTGATATTTAGTTTCTTTCTTTTTCCTATTTTCTCTCCCACCATTTCAGTAAATATGATTTGAAAATACAGTGAACAAATCAGCTACATGTTCTGTAATACCTTACAACTATTTTAGGCACAAGTTAAAAAAAAAAAAAGGAAAAAAACCCTCCAGAAACAGGACATCATCTTTTACCTCTATAGTATTGTATTTAATATAGTAGTGGCTGGCAGTTCTGCCTAAATCTGTTGAAGAAAAAAAGCCAGTCCGTTCTTCAAAGCGAATCATGCGGGCTTTGTCCAGTTTTCTGCCAACTTCAATCACCAACTGTTCTCTGTGCTTTTCTAGACCTGGATCCATCTAAACATGAAACACACACATTTATTTGCATAAAAGAAGTATTTAATATATAATTTTCTTGAGGTAATTCAGTAACACAAAGTCAAAAGTCTGATAAAATGAAGGTACAGTTATTAAGTCATAATTTTCTTGCGATCTCACTAATAACAATTATATTGACATTACTGACCAAAACCTGTATGTACAGGACAAAATAATCAGAATAAAATTTCTTTTACAATTATTTGGGACTATCATTACAACAGAGACCAATACTATTTATGAAAAAAATCTAGTATGATTATGAAACAAATTTACATTGAAAACTTTGAAAGATGCTTTAATGATAACATATTCTTTATTAAATTATCATTACTGTATCACTTCAAAAAATCATGTCATCTTTTGGCACCTTCTGTTCATAAAAATGGCTGAAGATATACCTTCCTGTGTAGCTGACATGAGGCTGGCTTTAATTGCATAGATAATAGATTAAGCTTCAAATTGCATGGCTTAAATGTTTCCTAGGAAAAAACCTTTAATATCCCCAAAAGCTTTTGGTGGGTTAATTGGGATATTCTAATTAGTGAGTTACAGATGTACAGTAACATTCATGTTAAAGGCACACAAAGGAGCTTCCTCTGCCCAACATCACTTCTATTCATACCAAAGTTCAGGAACTTGGACATTTTGTCCTACTAATAGTGCACATTGTCTCACTAGTACATAAAAGGCTGGACAAAACTCCCATCTGAGAAGAACTGCTGTATAATTGTGTGTTTCCACACCAGGCACCTGGGATACCCACACTGACAGGGATGAGTGAAATGATTCATAGTTATGTTAACCTTCTGCAGCACGTGCACCTGAGATATGGCTCTAATTACAAGCAATAATTAGTTTTAAGGACTGAAACACTGTTCTAGTCCACAGGCAGTATTCTTATTTCAGGGCTCGTGTATAGTTCAGATTTCCTACAGAATAAGTCATACCAGCTCTCTGGGTAAAACTGAAACAGAGATACACGGCCAAGACAGCACGAAGGAGCAGGCTATAAGAATTGTTGTGCCTTGGTCTGCTCTGGTTTTCCCTGGGCCAGGATTCAGTTTCACCTTTGTGCAGAAGGACATCATCCCACGGTCGGTGAAGCTGCAGACAAACACAGTCATCTCCACAAAGCAGCTGGAGACTCGTTCCTAATATTCCATGTTTGCCAGTTGCCCTGAAGCTGTTTCTCCTTAGTTATGGCTTGCCTTAGTTTCAAGTCCAAAGCTAAGATGGCAAAGGTCTAGACTTCTTTTCTAAATAGTAAGTCATGCATTGAGGTCAGATTTCAGAGCAGAGTTGGTAAAAAAAAGTGATCTAGTTGCCAGATGTTCAATATTTCTTAAAACTATCGTGGGGAAAAAATTAATGAAAAATCAAAATAACTCCCTATTCCTTTGGCAGTCCAAAGTACCCACCAATCTTTTGCCTTCCAAAAAGCTGAGGCTGCAACAGCACACTAACATTTTTTACGAAGTTTTAACTTTAAAGGAAAGATCACCAACTTGAAAAAACTGTGAAACAATATTTGAGTTTAGACAATCCATGGTTAGCGCCCTTCTTGTTGAACTTGCATAATTAGAAATCCTCAGAATAAAGGATCCAGCCTGGAACAGCTTTAAGCCATTCTCTTTAACATGAACCTTGGCATGTCCACAGTAAGAAACTGAGCAGGTCTGGAGTATACATATGGAAATTTAAGAATGCGTGATAAAGTACATTACTGTCCATTATAAAGTACATTATTATCCACACTGTTTTCGTGTAACTTACTGAGAGAAATGTTGGGCACAAGCTCCTCTAATTTTTATATCTAGACATAAATTTCATGGTGGTAAAAAGCTCTGCTTAACTGTAGGAACACCAAAGAATGAAACAAAATAGAGGAGAAAATAGACAAAAAAGGTTTTTTAATCCAGGCACCTTTTCATTGGAACTCCAGAAGTATGAGAAAATGCCTGTAATTCATACTACTGGCTTCACTAATACATTTCCATTTGCTCCACTTTTTCACTTTTTCACTTTTTCCTTCCACTCTTTTTTTTTTTTTTTGGTCTTGCTGCTCGTCATTAATTTTGGCCATTTTCATGAATCAGTAAGAGGCATTATTGGCATTTCTGGCAAACAACTTGAAAAATCACAAATCAAAGCAGTGGACTGCAGTAGCCAGCTCCTGGGTGTAGCCCAGAAAGATCCTGGAGACATGTGGGGTTCCAAAGATGTGCACCCTATTGTGTGGGTGCCCTGAAGTACAATCACTGGATGTGGTGAGCACCAGTGGAAAGGGAATGGGGAATGAGTTTGCATGATCTCAGTCTCCACAAACAGCTAGGAAGTGTGATCCACAAGGGATACAGGGATTCTGAATGGATAACACTGACTGCCAGTGAAAACAGAGACAGAAATTGGCATACTGCAATTACTAAAATACACTAAGACACCGGTTATGAAAATTGGATACCTATACCTAGAATGGTCTAACTGACCAAAGCTTTGCTTATACCTGCACTAGAGCATTCATATACTCTCTATCATATCATAAGCTTTGATGTTTAAAGCTGGTTTATCTAGGAAACAAGAGGATTTGCATTGGTTTTGCTCCTACATGAATGGGTAACACTTCACAGTGATATAATTTGTTACTGCCTTAACTCAAAAATATGAATGTCTAACACTAGCACATCAAATCCAAAGGAGTAGAAAGAAGGTTAGTGGAACAATCCTCACTTTCTCAGCAGCTGAACAGAAACACTAGAGCAGGGGGAAGGAGAGAAACTCCTGCTCATTATTTTTAAATTTTTTAAAAGATATTTCTGTTACTGATATTTTCCCCACTTATTATCACCACGGTTACATTTCTTTTAATCTTGAATTTGATAGTGAAACAAAAAACCGAATTTTTATTAGTGGGACAACAACATTCTTCTCACTAGCAAATCAATTTTTGATTCTCACTTATCTATTACTTTGTGGTGTATGTTATTATTGTTATATTAACATATGGCAATGCACTATACAGCTTTTTATAGAAAATAAATTTGAGATGACCAGAGGTCTAAAGGTGTCTGCAGAAGCTTCCTTAAGGAACAGCACACCTATTTCCACTGCAGTTTCCACTACCAGAGACAAAAAATTATCAAAAAACTGTCTGCTGACATATGCCTCTGCATGTCACCATGACCTAACAAACTGCTGCTCACAATGTCAAAATAAATTACAAAGTCACAAACCAGATACTTGACGTGAAATAAACTGCAGGTACCACACACTTGTGAGTTTGCCCTGCATTAGGCTCAATTAACTGTGTCTAACCATGCTTACATTAAATGCTATAAACAACTGTACAAAGGAAAAGGTAATAATATTTAGATTACCTGTAAAAATCTTCATAAAATTATTAATTTTTAATTTATCTTTCTTAAAAATTATTAATCTTCCTAAAAATTACAGATAATGGAAAAACTTGAAAAAACCCCCTTTTGTAAATGTGCACTGATTCATATCACAGCACAGAATGCTTGTAAATATGACAAAAAAATCCAAACAAATTAATTAAAAATCTTATAATTAATAAATCATATGATAGAAAATATCATCCAATTAAAATGTTTATTTTCTAGTTTATAAATTATTATACCAGGAAACATTCTAAAACAAAAACTGATGGGGTGAGTGGGAATCAAGCAACTCAAAAATGCTTTCTTTTATCATTTCTATGTAGTCTACAAAACTGAAACACTGAAAACAGCCTAACTTACAGTAACTGTGTGATAAAAATGAGTGGTGTCCTTTGGAGCATAACTTGACCAGTTAAAATGTATTTTTATGTGAACAGAAGAGGCCTCATAATTCAGTGTTAAAAACACTCTGCTACAGAAAATATCTTCCTTTTTCTAAGCACTTTAAAAGAATTGCTGATGTCAGGTTAAGTAGAAATAGCAAATATTTATCCTCACATCAGGGAAGGATTAGAAACTCAGAACAGGTTACAGATTTTTTTAAAATGCATTTTATACCTGATAAGCTTTGTGACTGATGCCATATACTAATGGATTTGCTCTCATCCGTACATAAAGATAAGTGTAACTTATCCACTTTACTGCTTCTTCCACATTAGTTACCGTGCCAAGAGCAATCTGGAAATAGGAGAAGAGACAAAATTAAGTATATAGGTTACAGCTGTACATAAGTACTTGCCTGAAAACACATGGAATTAAGAGTATTAGCACAATATTAAAGAAAGTGTTGGGATATATTGAATGCATATAATTTTGAAATAGTCCTAAAGCAATAACTTGACTAATTTATGCAACTTTATCTCGTGAACATGTAATAACATGGGCTGCTTTGACCTAATACTATACATGCAGTGACCATAAATGATCTTTCATACATCACTTACAATTTTTACAACTAAAAGATATTATTGAGCTAGAATGTTATAAAAATAAAAAGACAAACAAACCAAAATTATTCTGTGGTGGATATGGTCAAGGTAATTGAAAGATGAGTACTTGAAAAGAAAAGAATCTACATTTAAAAGATTAATTTAATCATGCCAATGTGAAAGCACCATTGGGTCCTAAGCAAAATGATACCAAGAATCTTTAGGTTTTTTCTTCCTCATACTTGGAAATACTTTTATACACAGTCTTTATAAATAGTTTTCTCCTTTTGTATCTGCAAGTCAAACATACAGGTATCTGCTAGATTTTTGGTGTATCAAAATATAACAAAATTGAATAGACTTTATATTTATATATCCATATATAACTATCTATATATATCTATATATATATTAATCTATATCTGTCTCTCTCCATATATATACATATATACATACATACACACATATATATGTTTATTTATATTTCAAGGCTAAATCAGCTGTACCAAACAATTTTTTATACTGAGTGCTTTTTTTTTCCTGAAAATTGAATACTTTTATCACCAAATTGTTGACCATATACATATTTTTACTTGATAACTTCAGCTCTATTTTGTACTGATTACACTCACAAGAAACATTTTACTGCTTAATTCCAGTTAACCTGATTTTACCAGAAGAATTTAATATTTCCTGCATGTCCCATGAACAAACCTTTTTTGGTTGTTGTTGGTTGTTAAAACAAGCAAAAGTCCCTCTTTCCTAAGTTTTGTGATTCATTGCTGCATTTTTAAGGCTATATTTGTTTTATTGGTGTTTGGATTTAATATAAATCTTCCACGTGACTTGGCAGAAATAATAATTTAAAAAAACCTATAGAACTGAGTACATGTGCATGTTCAAACTGAAGTACCTAGACCTACACAATAATTCTGACATTATTTTGCAAATAACATAAATATCTGTTATTAAAAATAACAATGAAAGGCATATCTGCCTTGAGTAAACTTGAATCCGGTAAAACCTTGTTAATATCAATGTCTAATAGCATGGAGTAACCCTAGGCTTTGCTTAACACAGTTTTCAAGTGGTGTTTTGTTGTTCAAAAGCATAAGGAGATTGGGGGAATCCCATAGTACTGCTTTTTAAGGCAATAGCCACATAATGCACTGAAGTAGCTAAAAAACCATTCAGTTCTTCACAGACTACTACAGGGATAACATGGAATAGAACCCACAGGTTACTAATACTTGATTTGTACACAGGTTATTTGGAGCATTTGTTTCTTTGCATGACTCAAATATCTTTCAGCGCAGAACTTGAAAGAGCTTATAACATAGCCCACTAGTAGCATTTTCAAGAACCACTTTCATAATCATGAAAACATAATATTCTTGTTACTGAAGACAATGAAGTCTGACAAAAACCAAAACAAAACATGCCTTACTTTTTATTTGCCTCATTTGTTCAAACATCTGATTCTATTGCTATTCTATTCTATTCTAGTAAATAATTTTAATAAGTTAAAAGCAAAACTGAGGAAAAAAGCAATTGTGAAATACAGTTGGGTTTCAGATATGGCACTGAAATCTAATACTGTGTTTTCCTTCTTCCCACAAATTCAATAATACGCAGTCAAAAAAAACCAGAGTAATTTCTAAATATTTGCTGCCATCTAGTGCTCAAGTGAAGTTCTTAGGGACTGAAAATTTATCCTACATTAAACAGTATGAATGATCCAAGTTTCCAGCACTTCCTCAACGGTGTATTAGGCATTTAGTTACAGATGGAATAATTGGTGAGCAGAAATATTTCCTATCTTGACATTGTATTGTCCAATTGCACCAGTTTTCATTAAGCAATTTTGATTTTTCATAGCTCAAATATAATAATGGTGTTTCATCACTCACAGAATGCAGTTTTAAGTACTATTTTTATCCAACTCACTGTGTAATTTTAAATTACAGCAATAATCAGCATCACACAATTTTAACTAATTTTGCAGTGACTGACGTTGCCATCACTGAGCAACGTGCCTAGTAGCATTTATTGCCATTTATTTTCTTTTTGCCAACCTTTTTTCTTACAAATGCTACACCACAAATTTTATCAAGTTGAATGATATTTCAGAGGAGGTGGTTTTGATTTGCAAAAAAGGCTAAACAGATATAAGTAGCACGGCTTTTGGGGGGCAGCTCTTGAAAAATGAGGGGTTTTTTCTCTGATATTTCTGATTATTAGAAAATGGCATAAAAATATTACCCATCAGATATACTGAACTTATTATATAGCATAATACATTCTTTTTTACATACACGTGCCTTTTTTACAAATATACTACCTGTTATTGTTATATAATTGAGTCTGAATACACAAAGAAAAATTTCAATGTTTATATAAAGTATTTGTTGGTAAGGTAAGAGAGCAAGGAACCTTTCTTACAACCGAATAAGCAATTTTCTGTTTCCTTTGGAAACCAATGGATTTTAAATTACTATTTCAGCCCCATAGGACTATGGTCTTAGTCTGTGAAGCTTTTGAAATAATTAATGCTAGTAGAACTGTCCCAAGTCAGACAGAACCTCCTGTGCTTTGCCCCATACTCAGATCTGCCATTCAGTCATCCAGCTCCTGAGTGATTTTTTTTTTTAGGAAGGACTCTGAAGGAATTTTTCTTCTCTTCTGAGAACCCTTTCTTTCAAGGCAGAAGATGAAGAGGTTTGTCCAGATTTAAAAAGCCACCAGGTTCTACATTCCTGCCTTCAGGGGAAAATGGCAAGCACATGCAAGTGAAGGCACACACCCTGGGGAAGGTATGCCCACTGTCCAGCACTGCAAATCATTTCCTAAGCTCTCTGGGGAAAGGAGTCAGCCCAGCAAACAAGCTGGAGTCCAGCTGTGGTTGTCAGGGAGGGCTCTTTCAGGTGGAAACCATTAGGGAAGGAATGGTGGCCTGCATTGTATGAGCTATTGATGATAGTTCCCAGATAAGTTAAAGTTTATGGTCTAATTAAACCATATCCCCTGCATCTTATCTTTCTTCCTGTATTTCCAGAAAAGACAGCCATAGGTATTTTCTGTTTGCCAGCTGGTCAACTGCCCCAGGACTTGTTCTTCTCAACTAAGTACCTTAGCTAGCTGTTTTATTCCTTTTTACATCCTATTTTGCCCACTGGCAAAATCTCAGTAAAAAAAAGGAAAAGGGCATCTCCATGCCTTCGTTGATCATCACTTATTTACTATTCTGCTAATTTTTAGGAGGAAAAAACCCCACAAAACCAAAGCAAACCTCAGATCTGCAGAAGTGAATTAACAGCAGACTGACATGCTGATATACTCATTCAAAGCCTTAATTTTGTTTCAGCTCAATGTAGTAGGATATATTTCAGGTTTCCCCTTCTCCTAAGAACAAAAGCACTGAAGCATCAAGATCAGCTCTCTCTGAGGTCAGGTAACAGCAAGTGCTGAAGGGCAAAATGCAGCAATGAGGAAGAAGCATCATAGACATTTCTCCCAAACTCTTTAACTATTGCATCTCCAGGTCTTTAGTTAAAGGTATTGGCTTTGTACTTGATATCTTTAAATGGATTTCTATTCCATCTGTGGACAGTTTTTCAAGTACTTTTCTGTTTAGAAATAGACCCCTGTAGAGAGTTCCACTACCTAAACACCCAGTTGACATCATTTTGTTTTCTGAACCTGCCACTGGCTCATTGCAGCCAAAACATCCTGGTTCTTGTCCCAGGAAAGATGCAGTCTTTTGCCATATTACTTCATGTATTACTTCACAAAACTCTGTCATATAATCTGGATTTGTTTTGTTCTCTCCTGAAGCATACAGAAAAACTGGTGGGCTCCTTTCACTGAAACAGATTTATTCCTTTGCTCATCCTCTCTGAAAATTTCTTGATTCTAGAGGATTATCTTTTATATGGATATATACTGCAAGTTTTTGCAGTATTGCCCAAATTTTCTCTCCTGCACCACATAAGCCTAGGTACAAAATTCAAGGCCCTGGATTCCACTTAGCAATTCTGTGGCCAGGATTATATGTTATATTACCATAAATATCTGAATCATTCTTAACATCCACCTATTTCTGCCAAGATACCTGGTCTAGATAAAAGCAATTTCACATTATTGTGGAAACATGAAGTCTTTCCATACTTCCAACTGCTGCCTTCATTTTATCAGCCCTTCTTTCAGCTATTGGTGTTTCCATAACAAATTGAGAATTTAAACAATTCAGAAGTGCTTGTGGCCTTTAATTTATTTCTCTTTACAACTAGAGAATAAGCATTTGGATTTCCTGAACTACTTGTAATGAGAGCAGATTCTGCTCCTACAATATGTTGTTTTATTATCCATCAGTGCAGATTTCCTGGTGCTACCAACAGGCTCTGTTATGGAGAAGTTGTCAGTGGTCATCAACACACTTGTCTTGATTTCTGCAACACATCAGTCAAAACCCATATATTTTGTATCCATACAGTGCTTTGTCACTACCAAAGGGCAGAAGATGACAAAAATTGAATGTGCTTCTTAAGACTACATACTTTATCATATGATGGCATATATTTTAAAATGTGGTTTTTTTCCAGACTGGTGCAGCATATTGGAATAGTCATCTCCACATAAACTTAATTTCTTCTAAATCATCTCTATCTTTCTCAGAGAATTCTACTACCTTAGATCAAATCAGCATACACAGAAGTTTAGACTGACTCCAATTATAAGGAAATGTTATGAAGTTATTTTCCAAAAAATGCTGGCACAATAGCTCCTTGCCAGTGCTCATAGATTTGGCTACCTGTAATGTGGCAGGTACCAATTTTTCCTGCATGTTATGACAGGAGGATAAGTAATGTCACATATGTTGCTTTCATGCCCTTGCTATACTACTGTGCTTCATTGCTATTTCTACTAACAATTATTTATCACTGTAATTAACAAAATTCTGCTTGCATCTTCAGCTTCTGTACTGTATCACTTAATGGAATCTGGGGTAATTTTAAAGCCATGAGTACACCGTTCTTTTCAGATTACTATCATTACACAAAATCAGAAAAAAAGACTAAGTTCCTAATATTTTATAAAATGTAGCAGACTCCTCTGCTGTGAAGGAAAGCCCACCCAACCCTTGTTTCACTGTCTGCTTCCTGTGTCTCAAAATAAGAACAAAGCTCTTCTATGAAATCTGGCTGGATTTTTGTCTAGTGAAAAGGCACATGGTATCCCAAAACCAGACCACTCTCTCCTGACTTATTGTGGTGCTGAACAATAACCACAAATATTCCTGACTTACACAACCAACTTCAGGAAGTAAAGTTTTACTGCTAATGTGTAAGCTGCTACTATGCAATTTTAAATAACTGAATATCCATCCAGTTCCACTTAGAGAATATTCAGAGGTGTCTATTTCCAGGACCATTAAGTATTGTCAAAAGGAAATGGTTGAGAGCAATATATCTGCTCAATGCAAGTATGCCTTCCATTTATTTTTTCGTTTTTTTTTTTTTGTGGTAGAAGAAGAGATGGGAAAATGGCAAAAGTGATGAAAAGATAAAATAAGTAAATATGTAAGAATTGTGTAGATAAAATAACAAACATCTTTAAAAGGCTATTCTCAATAGACCAAATAAACCTCACATCTTTCAAAATGATAAGCAGTTTTATGTCACTGGACATTTAAGTTTAGCTAAAATGCTTGACTTCAACTGAAAAAATGTCTTGTGCCCTTGAAAAAAAAAGTTAAAGCCAAGTCCATTATTCTTCTTATGCTGCAGTCAAATATGTGAATTTGATTACATACAGAAAGACAGACTTTTTTTTTGCAGATTTTACTTCTCAGTTACACAGAACACCTACTAAATTCTAAAAAATCGCTTCTGATTAAAAGGTAAATGCTGCATTGCTACAGTTTTATCTTAATGGTATTTTGACCCTCCATCCTACTTTGAATACCTACTATATTTTGTAAAAGACCCCTCCTTTTCACATATGTAGCAGTTCACTTAAACATACACACCTACACACTAACAGTAATAAAATATGGATGACGAAAATTTAATAAAGTGTGAGAATATTGCATTTTTGTTTCAAATAATGTCAATCCTTTAAAGTTTGCTAGTTTCTCTAAACAAATCAAAGGTTACCTCTGCATTTAAGTTGTCTGCAAGGCTTTCAAGAAACTGGCTTTCAATTGGGTTCTGCTGTGTAAGAAGAGTCAGGTAATGACTGAGTTTATCATGAGTTGTAATAATGATGCCTTCTCCGAATTTGTCAAACTGAGGCCGTCCAGCTCGACCAAATATCTGCATGACATCTAAAATTCCAAGGTCAACAAAGGAGCCTCTTTTTGCAGCATATATTTGTGTTCCCTGGTTGAGGAAAAGTTAATAAAAATTAACATAAATACACATGAATATAATCCTGATGAGCTGAATACTGAAATTAGGCAAATATGGTATGATTTCAGAAGTGTACTTTAACTAATCCTTTCATAATCTTTGATATATTTAAATCTTTACTACACAAACTAGACTCCCACTGGAGAGAATCAGTTTAATGAGATATAAATAACATTTCAAGTCAATCAGATATTTCCCCTCCAGGCCCAAAACTCACAAGAAATCTTGCTATCTATACTTCTTCACAGGTTTCTTTTAAGACAGATAACCCCTTGCAGAGTATGGAAGCTCTTACCTTAATAACAACAGCATGAGCAGGCAGATTGACACCCCAAGCAAGTGTAGCTGTACAAACCAAGACTTTGATATGTCCATTAGAAAACAAGTTCTCAACCAAACTTCTGTCCTGCCGCAGCATTCCCGCGTGGTGAATGCTAAATCCATCTGGAAACAGCTCACGCAGCTGCTTATTTCTGGATCTCTGCACCTGGAGTGGGCAAGAATAACAATTAAATTCACTTCTAATTACAGCACAAGAAGTATGGTATTAAAAAAATACAGGAAAAATTTTGAATATTATTACGAGTCATAAGAAAGAAACTATTTCTATTAAGATTGGACTTTCCATCAAGGCCAGTTTGTGACAATTTTCTATAAATTAGTATTTCTATACTTATTTTCTGAATACCCTTAATTCTATAAAAGACTGCAAGAAGTTTAATCTGTGTACAAAAGTGTAGTTTCACTTAAATGGAGATTCAAGGTAATCAACAGTGAGTACACAGAAACTGAGAATTCTCCTATCATTTTTCCTTAAAATAAACTCTTTCAGACTGTGGAGGCAGCTTGGGCAGGCTTGAGGCATTGGGCCACACACTATACATACCATGAAGGAGGGGACACCCCTCCCCATCACCAGCCATTGTATGGGTGCAGCACAGCCTGAATCAATAAATTCATGGTACAGAATCAAATGCTTCATCTACCCCTCATTTTCCTTTTCCCATAGGCAGGAGGCTGAGATCTCAGTCTGCAAAACCTCCAGCCTCCTGCAGGGTATGAGCTCTGTGAGCATTATTTCTGGGTGCTGGCCTTTATCATGCTTCATCTACACTGAACACTGACTCCAAGTTATGAAAAACTAATATACTTCCCTAATTTGCCCCAAACACTCCTGATTTTCTGCCTGTCTCTTCCACATTCCTATCTGCTGCACTAACTGCCTTCCACAACCAGCTACTGCTAAATGTGATACCAAAAGGGTTGTGGTAATGACAATTCTAATATTTTTCCAAACCAGATTTCTTTATCTTTGTCCATGGAGAATTTCCACTTTTCCAAATCATATGAAGGTTAAGTAGTATTTAACTCTCACTTTCAGCCATGTGTATTATAGTGAATTAATTCTAGATAAAATTAGATTTTTATTGGTTTTATTGTTGATGTTATCTCTTCACATTTACCATTTCCTGACACACAGCCACCGAAAAGTTGATTTATGGGATACAGAGTGGGTAAAGCAAAGCAAAACATGGTTCGCAGTACTGGCAAACTGCCAAACATGAACAATAAATCTCTGCAAACACAGAAATAAATAGGGAGATGGCAATGCAATTATAAAAGGAGGACATGAAAAGAAAAATATTGTAGGAAAACCACATTTCTCAGTTTCTCAATTATCCAGCTTTTCAATATCTGATCTTTCCCGCTTTAGCAGTAATTATTTACTATTCGTTTAAAGGAAATCAAATTCAGCTTTTAAACTACACATGACTTTTTGGCAAATTTAATTAACTGCTGTAGTGCCTAAAAATGAATAAATAATAAATTGATAAAGTGGCCCTGCAGTTCAGGAAGCTTATTCTTCATGAGCTAACAAATAGAACCAAATATTTCATAAAGAGCACAGATGCACCAAGGTTTGCCTTTATTGACTATCAACAACAAAATTCATAGAAGGTTGTGGAAAATTCACTTCATCTGCTTCTGTGACACAGAAATTTGGATTGCTCTTGATTATATCTGGAACTTGGTGTAAGCATTCAAGTATGAATTAGCTCTTTTCTTAAATAAGTGATTAAACAACCATGAAAAAATTCACTTTTTTAGAAGAACTTTCTGTGTTGGTGTCACATGTCTATTTTATATGCATTAAGGTATCTACTTTTCAAAAACAATTATTCAATATAAAAAACATTACACTTTAAATATTATAATCTTAGCTAAAAAAGCAGAATCTTGCTCTGAAATCCTCACAATTTAAAAATTTCATACCTTTGTAATTTGATTGCTTATGTCATTTAATGTAACGAAAGACAGGGCAATATAAAAATGGAAAGGTAAGAATAGTAGGATTTTGTAGTAGATCTAGAAGAAAACTATTTGTTTATGGTTTTAGGAAGTACAATTTTATCAATTTATAAGAAAGGAACTTGTGAATACAATAAAAAGAAAAAGGAAGGAGAAAGATTTGTGACAGAAAACATATAAAGATATAGCAATGCTAGTCTGACAATAATTCAATACTGACAAGCTTAAGCTTAATCTAAACTGTTCAAAAATACATAGGTACACTTACATGTTGCATTTACCAAGAATAAAAACCTAGTTCTAAAATCTACCACACATTCTAAAACAACATCTTTGAAATATTTAAAATGTACAGGTTCATTTATTGAATCTGTGAAGTGCTAGACTTCCAGTCTACACAGCTAACAGGTTTAGAAATACATGATTTTTTTTTTTCCATGACAGAAGATGATAAACTTTTTTAAATGAAAAAAATCACAGCTCACTTTTGACATAGGGAAAAACCAAATGCTGAGGAAATAAAATTGCTAGTTATTCTGGATGATTCTATTAACTACACAGAAATGGAAATTATTTTCTTCCCATACATCTGTGTTCACTTTAGTTTACAAAGATACAAGGCAACTTAGTTCAAGAACAATGATATAATCCAATTTTATAAAATTCACTTGAGAAAATAAAAAAATGATTCCCATATTGCAGCAATGCCTAGAAAAATTGCTCACACAATGTATCATTTAAGCATATTTGCTTTTGAACAAACCTTTTAAACTCTTGTGAAGATGAAGTGCATGGCTCTTGTATTTAATCTGAATTTTAATGGTTACAGAGACAACAAAACCAAGAACTACTAAATAAAGGACCTGAACCTATAAAAAGTTATATTGCTTCCACCTTGTTGTATTACAGAATAAAACTAAGAGGTTTTACTTAAAATTTAAACAAAATGTTACTAAGTGCCTCAGGTGTATGGAGAAGTTGTTACTATGAGGTCTAGCACTGGTCTCCTGATTAGAATTGATTTTCTTTCCCCTCCCTTATTGCTCAAGAGGGCTGTAGATTTATGACCTTTGCTTACATGTGTGTGTGCATCTAAAACAGTATGTGTTAAATAAATTCCCAGTTTAGCTTGCTGCCGCCTATATTTCTCCTTTAAATGTCTTGAATTTCATGCTATTCTTGATTAATACACATGAAAAATGCCACAATTAGACATAGAAAAATGTCCTGCTTAATTTTAATGAGAAATGATGCATACATATCAGGAAAAAAGAAATCCAATGTTTCTACTTAAGACTTATGAAAGGTAACACTCTTCCTTACCCCTTTCATGCATCTGGTATCACAAAGGAATCACCATTCATAACAACTATAAGGTGTACACTCTTTGAAATACTCATACAGTGAACCAAAGAATGAAAATTTTAGGAGGCCTATAGATAGCTTTTTCTCTTACTTTATATCGAAGGAAGGTGAAAAAGAGCAATAAGGCTTGATTATGAGAAGCAGCTGCCAATAAATTGCTTCTCGATACATGAAACATGAATTTATGGTTTGTTTTGTTGGTTTTTTTTTAATCTCCAATTGCTATCCTCATCTAGGACAAAGAAAGTAGATCATCACTACTTGCTATGAGAATTTTTTTTCTTTCTGTAGATTACTCATTTTTCTTTTATGCATGCTCCTTTTAAGATATTGCTTGAAATTCTGAATTTGGGTGTTTTTCCCACTAATAATGCAGTTTTTGACTCTAACTGTATATAAAGGAGGCTCATGTTTTTCCCTGTAACAAAAAATTACTATTACTATATTCTCTTTTCTCCCACTAATAATGCAGTTTTTGACTTGTGTATTCTCTTTCAATAACAAAAATGGCACAGGCTATTCCAGCATTTTTCTCACGATCCCCTTACTACAGCAAACTTCATGCTCATGACCATAGGACTCAATCTTTGTAATTTCCTTTCTGTGGAGTTCACTATAGGGCAGCACTTGCACTTGGTTCAGAATGCACCATTATATTTGTTCACTGGTTTGAGCAATCCTGAGCAATTTATTGCCACTCTCCATTCTCTGCACTGTCCTGACACCCTGCAAAGTAGCAGCTCTTAATTTTGAGGCCTCATTAGCCTCCCTTGATGAGTATTGGAGCTCAGATAGCACAGACATCACAGACACCAAACAAAGTAAGGAATCTTTTGCTGCAGCCTTCAATGAACAGCAATTATCATTAGTACTCCTACTGTGTGATGAATACAGGTCAAATACACCCAAGTAACTATTTTGTAACTTTGCTCAAGACATCCAAAAATGTAATTTGTAGGCTGACCTAAATTGTTTAAGTTGCAACAAGACAAAAGTCTCCTCTGCCTCATTCATATTACTAAAACTGCTGAATCTGCTCTGCTGGTTCATTTTAAGAACACTGACTGTCTTTCAAAATTTATGAGATCAGGGTAGAATGTAAAAAGTGTCCATCTACTCCAGAAGTAAAGGTCAGCTGACAGAAGCAGAATGAAAAAAGGGAATTTGAAGAGTCCATCCATGGGCTTATTGCTGTTTCATAAATATAAAAGAACTAAGTATGAGAGAAACAGAAAAAAATGATCAAAGGATTGCATGATCATTCACCATTTTTGCTCTTCAGAATTTACTACATCCATGTTGCATATTAATTTACCCATATATATGCAAAACTTTTATTTTCAACTTCTGTTTCAAAGGAGAGATCTTTGATGGTGTAAATAAAACCATCAGAGGTTTTTTTTTTTATATGACTTCAGAATATAGTAATTTTTTGTTATAGGGAAAAACATGAGACTCTCTCATTGAATCTCTCCTGAAGAGTCAATAATCTAATTGTCTTCCTCTGGCAATTTAAGTTCACTGTATAAAACTTAGGATTTTTTAAAGCTATGAGTTACTGTCTGATCAATTTACTGATATCACCTCAGTTAATTCTGTAAAGTGCTTTAAAAACACCTCTGAACGAGAAGGAAAGAGAGTAGTGGGACTGCTCCAATCAGAACAGCTTAGAAAGAATTCCTGCAAATTATACTTTGATTCTCTTTTTGATTCACAAAGGAAGGAAGTATAAGGCAGAATTTCTGGCAGATTTTTTTCTATTGCCCTGGCCTTACCACTGATCCTAAATCATTTATTGCATAAGGCTGTGTT